CCACTGTATTTGTGTTAATGGTATAGCACCGTCATCCCGCCAGCTCCAGTTCTAAACTAAAGAAGCAAAACTTGAATACCAAACTGCGTTATTCCTTTGGGCCCGTCAGCAAGTCTTGACTATTTAATGAGTTAAAGACCCTCCACATAATGTAAAGAGTCCATTACAATTAAATTAAGTTTCCTAGACTCCTATGTCACAGCCAAGAACCATTTAGGAACCTTTATTTTTAAGAGTATAGGGCTACCATCATCAGTAATTCTCCTTTCTCTCTATGGGAAATAAAGGAATGCTAAAGTGCTGGCATGTGGACATAAAACAAGACACTAGAGCATTAGTCTAGTAAGTCGCTAAAGCATGAATTCATCATGATTAGGAAAAGAATACAATTTCTCTTTCATAATGGCCGCACAGTGCAGAGCCGTTGCACCTGCGCTGCAGATTAAATAATGCTGGCTCAGGCTCTTTTGTCTTCGGTTGCTTATCATCTAGGCAATAACAGAAGCTTCTTCTCAGGTGTTTGAATTTGTTCTCCTAAGGCTGTTGTCATAGAGCGCATGAAACAAACAGATCAGGCTGCACAGAGTGGAATTAAATACGAGGTTAATGCACGGCAGAACAAACGGCAATCTTAACAAGATCATTATCACAAATGGGCAGATGTCACGCTGTGACATTTTGCATTTACACAGTGCCAACACAAACAGCTTTCATTGTGCAACAAAGAATTGTATTAAAACGATCATCAGCAAGACAATCACACTATGACTGTCAGTGCCTTACATCGCCAAGATTTACTCCATTTTACTCAAGACAGGTTGTAATTTGCCAAGACTACTGTAATCATTTCGTGATCAATCAGCCGAGCAGCGGGGCAGCAGGGTGGCATGCGTGAGGACAGTGATGAAAGATACAGCCGGCCAAACGTGGCAGGTTTCATTCAAAGACAGCCGGAGCGGCTGGTGTATTTATTCGAGCCTCAGGTTCGACGAAACAAATGTTGGAATAAAACACAGGCAATCTTTTGAGCCCAACTCAAAATCCACTTCTGAGAGGAAACATGATTGCCTGGGTAAGGCCTGAGGTGCTGCTGGGGTAAGCGGCGCCAGCTCCCAGCCCACACTCTGATGCCACAGAACACTGTTACAAAAGGAATAGATGCATTAAAAAGTTGATGCAATCACAACTTTTCATTTTCAAGCTTTTCCAGATCAATGGATATACACCATCAAAAATAGATGCGCTTTATCTGTGATATCGCCAGCACGGCCACGAAGCTCAAGCCCAAACAAAAATGTTTTCCCCTAATAAAGCAGCAGGGGTTGACGCACTTTGCCCGAAAACGGGTATCATGATTGAGGAAAACAAATTTTCCGAAAGGTGTTAGTTATTAATTTTAGTGGAAATATATATACTGTGCAGGGCACACTGGTAAACAGCCTGAAGATATCATTAGGAGGCAAACAGAATGAAGCTTGGCCTGCTCTGTAATTGAAAGATAGTGGCCATGGTTGTCGCACTGACAGCTCTGTTCAGTATGCAGTGGCATTGATCCAAATAAAGGGTGAAGATAATTCCAGGTAGACAGGAATTTGATGATTAATTTCCTCTTTGGTTTTCTCATGATCATAATAATGCATGAGAAAATGGGGCATTGTTGTCCGCAAAGCAATTGTCCCCCTGGCATGTGCTGGAGTATTTCTAACCCAGTAAGTGAACTTTTAAATGATGTGTTCTTTTACCTCAGCTAGCTGCCAGGATACAAATGAGTCACACAGCATCCCACGCGATCATGCACATCCACCGTATAATAAACCCATTTCACCCAGCATGAAATAAAAGACCATTTTCAAGTTCAGTGATTGGGTTCATAAACTCTCTCTCTCTCTCTCTCTCTCACACACACACACATACACACACATGCCATAAAACTAAGGCAAGTCGATTTTGAAATGGAACAAACTGCTCAAATGACCGTGCAAGTGACAAATCAATAATTAAATTAATACTCAGATTAATCTCACTAAACTGTAAATTGCATAACTTCCCACTACGCAATGTTATAGTTGAAGTAGTAACTCAGTTCACATACATCACACACATGTTCAGCTCTATTAACAGCATAGTGCATTGTAGACAGCTGCTTATCCAATCTTTCTCCTGACATCAAAGGTATTAATATGGAGGTTGTCCACACTCAAGTAACAGCCTCTGCTCTTCTAAGAAGACCTTACTCTTTGCTGTGAGGATTTGACTGCATTCAGCCACAAGAGCATTAGTGAGGTCAGTGATGTTAGTTGATCAGTTCTGGATCACCAACACCACTCCAAGCCATCTCAATGGTATCGGTTGGTGCTTCATCATCCAATGCTAGGAAGCTTTATACCCCTCTAGCCAAAACAATATATAAAGTACTGTGCAAAAGTGAGAGACCACCCTTCATTTATTTAATTTTCAGTCAAAACAGCCACTAAATACAAGTTGTTCAATTGATATTTCTGAGAAGACTAGATATAAGATAATCCATGTGCATAAAAAAAGGAAAATAAGTGAAAAAAAGGAGTTAACAACTGTAACCTGGTAGACCACTAAAACTGTCCCCATCAGATAAACAGTACTTAAAGCTTTCATCTTTGAGAATGAGTGTTTCTGTGAGAAGACAACCCAACACTATGAGTCTGAAAGGGTGTGTAGCTGACAAGAAGTTGAGAAATCAATCAAAGCTGCTGGTGTTCTCAGAACAATGGACTAGCCACCCCACAGTCCAGACCACACCACTGAATGTGTTTGAGATAACTTGGATTGTGAGAAGATGAAAGCACAACCAACTTCTAAGACTTTGGAGGAAAAAATATCCCTGCAGATTCTTTGAAAAACTGAAAGTCTCCTGAAAAAAAACTGAAGCTATTGTTAATTTTGATATTCCATTTAGTGGTGAGACTTTTATGTAATTTTCTGTTAAAGAAATGTTTCCTGCTTTTTCCTGACGCTAAAAGCTGAATAACGTATATATTTATTGACCATTTGGAGCGAAAATTAATTAAACATGTTATCTGACTTTCACACAGTGCTGTCTATACATTGGGCAGGAAGAGAAACCTTCGCCCAGACCCGTCTTCAGATTCTTTTGCACACAGTGGGTGCCACCACACATATAGAAGCGCTGCTAGCTCATATACATGAAACCGGTCGGTCATGACCTTCTGCCAATAAAATACTCATTTCGCACTGATGGGTAAAAAGATGATGGGCAGAGATTTATTCTAAACACAGAGCTGCAGACTGGAGTGCAAATACATGGGTGGAGGAGTCTCTGTGGGTTAGAGTCACTGGAAGAGCTATTGGCAAGCCTTTGTGTCCCCAGACTGCTAATAGAAACCTACTACATAAAGAAGGACAACAAAAAAACCTTAAAAGAGTTTAATTAAATCGGTCATCTAAGAGCTGCACATAGCTGTGTCCAGGTGGACATGCACAAAAATAAGAGACTCAAATTCAGGTGTACATGCAAGTCAATGCTGAAATGCTGATGAGGTCATTTCAATAAGGTGATGGACTTTTGCAAATTACATCACAACAATTGAGAGCCTGTCAGACTGTATGAGCGTCCTCGGGAGGGGAGTGGAGCTTTAGCCGCATTTTATATGTAAATGTGTTCAGAGGAGCTCCAGTGTTTGGAAGTGTCGGAAGTCGAGACCTGTTGCCATAGATACAAATTAACTGGCCAGGATGTTTTCATTTGGATTGCAGCGCCTGTCAAAGCCGTTAACTCACTGCTTTTGATTTTGTTTGTGCAATTAACTCCATTGTGCCTTTATTAACTTATGAAGCAAAATATTTATGATTTAAAATAACAATACAACTCCATCAGAGCTCATATAATGAATGTGTTATCAAAACAATGGTTCAGTTTGAAACAGCAGGATGAAATAAACATGTGGAGCATATTATTGATCTGAGAATCTACCTAGCGTGAAAACTGAAGACTAGAAAAAGGCTCACTGAAAAAGATGATGTATATCTATGTTTGCAGACTGAATCAACTGCCACTGACAATATGACTGAAAAATGTTTGATTCAACAGCACCCTCTTCTGTGAGTTAGAGGGAACAGCATACAGACCTTTTAAGGTCTACAAGGGGAATAGTAGCCCGTTCACAGAAATGATCCAAAAATGTACAACATTGAGATTCAATTCAATTAGATTAGAACTGTATAATGTTGCCAATACAAAACTATATGTTGTTATGGCAACACAATGATAAATGACTCCATGAACAATGAATACATTGAGGTCTAAATTAGTTTTTATTGGAAAAGCACATCATATCAACCACATACCAGAAATTTCAACTCTATCAAAAAGAGGTCTGGTCAAAATACCAACCATATATCTATTGATTAAAGATAAAAATGTGAAATGACTGGTGTAAAACCTGTCAAAAAACAATGTAAAGTACTGCGAATAATTCACATTAACCTTGTATGTTCCTTTTATAGAATCTGTCCAGCTTTTACTATTATAAAGAAATGTACAAACCTCAGAAAAGCTGTGTTAGAAAATGCTGCTTATTTTACTGAAGAAACTACAGCTGTTACAGTACAAAATTGCAACAAGAGTTCATTGCATATCATTGCTGTTATACCAACCTTGTATCTACTTTTTATAGATTCATTTTTATTTTTCTGCATCATCTGAGCCCTGAAACTGTCCTTTACATTCAGTGAACCATCAGAAATAGTCCAAAATTACCTAGAAAAAAATCTTGTTACATTAAAATACATTAAAAGTCAAGAATGCTTTGCCTTCTTTATATATATATATATATATATATATATATATATATATATATATATATATATATATATATATAAATAAAAGCACAGCATTAATATGCAGTGCACACTGGCAAAACCATGCTAGCTGCATTAAAGCTAAGAGACCTGCCTATATGTTCTACAGGCTTTAATGCTTTTGGAATAAATGATTCAAAACTGTCTTGAGTGCAGTCATCTTTACTATACTATCAAAGTGCTTATGGTTATATTTGGCAATAATAGAAAAACAGACACTTTTAATAAATTATCATCTATCTCAGTGTTTCATAGAAATGCCTCTGCAGTCATGCATTTAAGCTGGTTTTCACTTTTTTCTTGTTTGAGATTGCAGGGATCTTATCCTCGACTTGTCTACAGGATTATAAGAACGTTTCTGTAATGATGAATGTATAACCGATAAGTAATAAAGGCTTGTCTTAAAACATCAATATGTGAGATGTAACGAGTTGATTACTCTTTTTTCACATGAGAACCCCCCCCATTAACATGGCCAGTCGTGCCATTGGAGTCAAGTTTGCCCTCTGCCTGTAGTTTCTTGATGCAGTCATGCGGCCCCATCCCCATCAGAGCCGAGGGGTGTCTGTAGGAGCGTCCGATGCGGTCCCACAGGGTAAAGTACTGTCCATAGTTGTAGTCAAAGAAGAGGTGGTGGTCAGTGTGGTGTGCCGCGCCATTGATGAATTTTTCCAGCACTTTCGGGACCCGGTAGTCCCCGTCATGAATGGAGATAGTCCATATGTTGACAAAGACATAGAGGCCTAAGTAGAGCACCTTGTGCAGGGGGAAGAGGAAAGGGTAGATGTGGTACGGCAGACCCTGAAGGAAACCATCCACCGGGTGGAAAGCGTGGCTGGCGAAGGGAGTCGGGATCTTCCAAACGTGGTGAGGTTTATGTAAGTGCTACACAAATTCATGTACACATGAATTCGTTAGTAATGTATTTGTGATACATGTAAAATGACAATATGTTTTGTTAGAAATATGTTATCTTCTTGAGTACAACGTGGGCATCATCAGTGCTTCTAGAACAATGAACAATTGCATGTATAATAAAGAAGATCAATTGTCTGTAAACAACAACCTGCAGAAGCGGCACAGTTAACAAGTAGTTGATTGGATGTCAGCCCAGTATATTATTTTATTATATAACTGTACTCATTGCTTATCATAGTCTTTTTAAATGTGGTGCTACTGTTTTTCTGGTGTATTTTGTCCGTTCCAACTTGTCTGCAAAACCTCAGAAAAACTAAATACTGTGTTATGTATCATGATGTTATCATTGTGTTACATTTTGCCATATTGCCCACCCCATATTCAAAGATTCCATTCCAGCCCCTTTCTGAACACTTTATTAGTTCCCTTTGCTTTACTAGTTCTCTTTTCTTTTTTTGTTTAAGAATATTATAAGCTTGGCAATTACCTTGTAGAAAAGTTTGTGATGAAGGAACCTGTGAACCCAGTAGATGCACATATCGGTGAAAAAGAGGAATGAGAACATGCTGAAAATCAGCCCTGGCCAACCTGACAAATGCAAGAAAACAGACAGACTAAAAGGCCTGGAAAAGCTCAAGAATCCAACTGTATAAACAGAGAAAATACCAAGAACGAGCAGATCTGTAAGAACAGGCAGTTATTTGCTTCACACATTTTTAAATACATCTGAATATAAAAAAAAATAAATCAAAGAGAAAAAAACGTCTTAGCTGAGACATTTAATATACAGAGATAACTATGGTTCTCTCTATTTTACTAAGATGGATGAGAAGAAGGAAAGAAAACAAAAGTGGGCTTTTTCACATTTTTATATTGACTGCCATTCTTAGAACAGACAGAAGACCTCCAAAAGAAACTGCACTTTGAATGGCATCACATAATCTTACCCAGTGGAGAGTCGTCGACATTGTCATAGAGCTTGCTATAGCCTCGGACTTCAGCGAAGAACAGAGCGACTGTGGGAATGCTGATCACCGGTAAAGAAGTCATAGCATATTTTATTTCACGCCACACCTGGTTCTGTGAAGCAAGAAAAACAAAAAGCAAAAAAACAAAAATGAAGCAATATCACTTTTGGCTGATACCTGGATATTCTGGACATATGAAGCCTAAACTAAGGAAAGGTACATGCAAAATCACTAAAGTCAGAGTAACTTTTGCAGCTATATGCTCGGTCTGTGTTATTTGCATGTTATTTAAATGCGAGTCCTGACCTCCAAAAACTGAGGGTGTTTCATTAAACTGTGGTCAAAGATGAAATAGTAGCTTAAAGCACCCAGGCCAAGATATAAAATTGCAGCGCCGAGGTTGGTGACCACCAACAGTCCAAGGATCTGCCGCAGGGGCTCATCTTCAGGCCAAGAGGAGGGATACACATACGGAGTAAAGAAGTAATAGTCTGCAAAGTTCAGTACAAGGTCCATGGTTGGCACTATGGGATGAAAAAGAAAGAAGGGAGACAAAGTTTCATATAAGCTCTATACATGTACCTTACAATAACAATAAGTTTAATGAACCTGGCACGACATAGAAATGCTTAGGAAGGATACAGTCCTCAGTGCTACTGATATTCATTTGAAGTAGAAAAAAACGAGTGATCTGCTGTTTGCTCTGAATACACAGAACAAGTTCAAAACAACTGAGAAACACGGACTTCACACAGAGATACGTGAAATGCATAGTAATAAGGACATAATTAAGCACTAATTTGCCGTGTGCGACTGCAGGTTTCAAACACCCATGTACTTCAGTTCAGAGAAGAGTTTGGAGAAGAAACGAGCGTGTCTTACCTGATTAGGTGCTGAAGTTCAGCTCCCTGCAGGCTGTCTGCTGCTCAGCACTGATACCAGTACAACATTGCGTGACGCAGTCGCAGAATACAGCTGAGACCAATGAGCGGTCAAAACGTCACAACACAAGCAGATTTCTCGCGTCTGATTGGACAAATGTGTGATCTGATCATGGCGTTATAGAGACAGCGACAAGATTTAAAGGAGTACAGTTATGGATCTGTGTGACTTCATTTATATCTGAAAAAGTAAGTGGTTGTAAGTGGTGTACATGTAATACGTGCTTGATGTGGCTGCGTGTAGTAATAATCTAACAAGGTCTAGTTTTGTTTAGCTTACTAGAAGCTGCGTTTCAGTAAAAAAAAAAAACGATTTGTTGCCCTTTGTGTGATATACAGCGGCATTTCTGGTTGGATTTATGTGAAGATCAGTGACAGTGAGTGAAACTGCGACAGGATAAAGGCCCCGAGCCGGTTTAAGGGGCGCCCAGACACTTCCTATTTATCCCGCTATCTCAAAAACATGACTGCAAAACGCCAGAGGGCGCCCGCGAGCGAGTCCTAAGTGAATGGGGGTAAATGGTACTAAACGGCTTAAATGTAAAGTTAAAAGGGTTACTCGCCGTTCGTTCATGACCTTCCTTTAATTTTAGAAAGTAGAAGGATATATTTCACAAAAAAACCCCAAAAAATAAAACAAGGAAAACTTGCCTATACTTTTTTTTCTACAACAAACAGGTTTTGGGCAGTAGGACTTCAGCATTACAGCTACTGTGTGCTGATTGGTTAGCGTTGCTGCCACTGAATGCTGATTGGTTGGTGAGCTGATCTGCTCATTGGCTTGATGAAGCAGTTCGCGCTCACAGACGTCATGACCGCCCCTCTAGCGTTTGACAAACCTGGAAGACATTACTGAGTGGCAGTTTTCCACTGTATAAAATTCTGTGAAGCTCCTCTGTTTTGGTCTGAGAAGTTGACACATCGCCTTCTGCTATTCGCGTTCAAAACATAACGGAAGACACCGATGCACTTTACAGACTGTACAACATGACGCGGCCGTATTCAGTTATATTTCTTAGTACTTAGTAAATGCTTCCCCAAAACGGACTACAAAGTCTGTCGCGCGGATGACGCCACTATCACACATCCCACGAAGCGGCGCCTGTCCTGAACTATGGGTTTTGTAGTTCCGTTATACAAAAGCAAAATATTCTGCTGTTATATTGTATTGGCAGCCGCAGTTTGTATGGCAGCAAAGTAGTAAAATAAAGTTCTAGCTCTAGAATTTTAATCCGTTTTAAGAAAGGTCCAAAACAGCAAGTCTGCACTTCCTCCCATCCAGGACTAGAGTTCTGGACTGGTTTTAATCGTTATTTTACTGATGGCAAAATCAGTAAAATCATACACAAAGTGAGATATACAAAAACAATCGATTTTCTAGTCATTCCACAACGAGCTCTCTTACCACTATAAACTTTTAGAAAAAAATTATTTGATCTCATAGACATGACCTGGCAAAGTTTGTCTCACCCCTCCCCTTTTAAAAACTTTTATACTTATTTTATTTTTGTTTACTAAGTTTTAATTTTTACACTATTCTATTTATTTATAATTCATCTGTTTATTTATTAATATTAATTTTGTAAGTTAATAGTCTTACTAATATTTGTTGACCATGCACGGTTTGTGTTTTCGAATATATGTGGACATTGTTTTGCTATTACTAATTATACATAAATAAATAAAATTAAAAACCCGTTTAATTAATGTGATGACGTTGGGGTATAACGTCATCAAAAAGGGACTGGGCTGAAAAACACCGCGCTAGTGCTGACAGTCGGCTCTGCGGAGACTGACTCCTCGAAGTTCATTGTTGGTTATCGTTGTCTTACTGCGCGTTTTAGATGTGAAGCAGTGACGCTGGTGGCTGCACGGGGACGACAGTACTGTGTATTTAAAGCCGTCTGCGGTCTAGTCTGGTTTACCGGCTCAGCTGGTCCTGTTTGGCTCGGAGTCTCAGAGGCGGGATGGACAGCGAGGTTCAGAGAGACGGCAGAGTGCTGGATCTGACCGATGATGCCTGGAGGGAGGACCGGCTGCCATATGAAGATGTGACAATTCCTCTGGTAACTTCTCACTGTCTCTAATACTGATACTAATATTAAGGTTGGCTGGCTGTGTAAAACTGCCAGAAATTTCAGTAAAAACGTGTAAAATAGACGAAACGGTTGAACCACGTCAGATGAAAATGTGACAATACAAAAAGATATACGGCATTATTAATATACAATGAATTGTCACGTTAATCACATGCAGCTACCATAAAGGTGCATTTTGTAGGTTTACAGATGTGCCTGTACCCCATCTGTGGCTGCACAATTTAACAGCGCCCCTCTGACCTACCTATCAGTGGACACGGACCACCATAGAAGCATCTCTGACCAGATGTTATTTGGGATATTTTGGTGGTGGTCCATTTTCAGCACAACAGTGACACTGAAATGGTAAGGCTATCAGGCCCAGCACTGCTGCTGGGGTTTTAAAACACCTCTTTGTCACTGCTGGGTTGACAATGGAATAGTTTGCCAACCAAAATATCCTACTAACAGTGGATGATGGGCTTGAATATGGAAACACCAATTGTGCATGGAAAAACTTGAGATAACTAAATCTACACTGTGTACCAACACAGTAATGTGTTGAATAAAGCTGACACAATCCAGATGGTGTTCTAAGTCCCCTGAACCCTGTGGTTCTCCCCATACTTTAATGACATAAATTACATGCAGACCTATAGGGCGAGACACCTCAAGGGTGCTTGGTTTAAACACATGCATTTGGGACAGACTCTGTTTTGCACCCATCGAATTGGCCAAGCAACGAACCAGATTCCTTCTCTACAGTGGCTCAGTTTCAAGCATAGTGTAGCTAAATAACAAGCTAAAATAATAAACAAATGCATTTTTACTCACGTTTCAATATCTTCCTCTCTGCCATGTTGGCCAGTCATCCACTCTGACTTTTTAGGATTTTTGGGCAAGAGGCTGCATTGTTGTGGTCCTCCCTGAAGGCTGCATAGCTGGTGCTAGTGAGCACCCCTTTGAATGCCAAAGTGAGAAATGGGACACCCTATAGCCTTGCAGTCCTCAGGTGCACTAATTTGGGACTGAGCTGAGCTGAACCAACGTGTCCGTACCATGTCAGTATTACTTCTTTGCTGGGAACAGTCCACCTCCAAAATATCTGGTCTGTGGTGGTCCTATGGTGGCCACTTTCCACAGATGGATGGGATAGAGGGGAGCTAACAAACTGTATTGCAACAGATGGGCTACAGTAAATAACTGTAAATGTAGGAAGTGCACACATATGGTAGGCGTACCTGTTAAAATGGCCAGTGAGTGTGAGGTGTTCCTAATAAACTGACAACTTGGTGTACATCTGTTTTGATATATTGTGTTTATTAAGTTATTATTCACATTAGTAATGTTAATCTTGTTTTTCTTTTAGAGTGAACTTCCAGAAGCAGAGCAAGATAATGGTGGATCCACAGAGTCAGTCAAAGAGCAAGAAATGAAGTGGTCCGATTTGGCCCTTCAAAGTTTGCATGAAAATACTCCAAGTACTGGGACATAGCAGATTAAGTGTATTTTTATATGATCAATTTGCATGCAAGTTATGTTTATGTATGTGGTGGCTGATCCAGACTTTAGTTTTTTTGGATAAACCTTCAGATGTGCGAATGATCAAGCACATTTATGCCTGTACAGTTCTGTACACAGATCTAGATACTACGAAAATGTCTCACATCAGTTGCCATCTAAAGCAAATAATGCAGTTTCTGTAATACTATATAAAATTGTTTAAATTATATTTTGTGATATCTAAATGGAGAATGAATGATTTGTATTTGAAACCCAGTTAAAGCTGCAGTTTGACAAACATCCTTTTTTTAACAGCTCAGCAGATTTAGAACATGTTTGACTAAATAAATGTCTGTTGGACTTGGGACGTACTTGTGTGGATGTATAATTTTGTTATAAAGAAGTAAAGTTTTCATTGAAATTACATGTACAGTAAACAGCTGATGTGAGATTACTGATGCACTGAGAAATCAAGACTAATAGATAAAAACAGAACTGATATTAAAATAATAATATAGTTTGAGACAGACTTTCGAGGCATTGTTCAAATTAATATGCACATGGAAAACAATGTATGAAGAAGAGAGGAGTAGATTCTTAGTTCATAAAAAATAAGATTAAAAAAAGCATTAATTTCAACCATCCTTCATAGCTGGACCAGTTGTTGTATCTCTCTGTAGATGACTTGCCAGACAATTCTATACACAGAAAGCAATCGGGTTCCTCTGGCTAGACTGAGGTTTATTTGTATTTGTAAAGGTAACACTGAAATGATCCAAATGTAAAACACAAATAGCATAAATATATATTTAACCAGTGAATAATTTTGATCATATTATTCATCAATAGGACTCAACATTTAATACTTGAACTTACAAAAAGATGTTTTCACATTTAGCACACAACTAGGTGGCTCCGAGACATGTTAGTAAGGATCGGGGGAAATTTACTTGTATGTCCATTTGTGAGACAAAATCTGAGCCCATCACACTTCAATGGGCTGCTTTGCACAGCAACTAAGGGCCAAATTCAATCAAGACTAAGCCTGATTAATAAACTATAGGATTTGTGGATAATGTGAACCAATACTGTATGTTTAAAACAGAGTGTCATTAAGGTGTGCAGATGTCTTTTCTTAGGGTGACCATACTTTGGTTCGCAAAAAACACTGGGGGCAGGAGGACAGTCAACATGTAAGCAAAGCCAAATCCCAGATATATTAAGGAATTCAGAAATCCCAGCCAGATGAAAAAATAAACACGTATGGCCACACTAATTTTCCTGAATGGCTATCAAGAACAGGAATGTTCAGATGGAATATTTTGTACCATGAAGTGCTAAACACTACTGTGATTATCACTTACCAACTGGCAGGAACAGTTCACTGAGGGATCTAGGAGGCTTGACTGAATAAGGCCCTTACATTTCACATTTTACCTCCAGGGGGCATGCTGGAGTGGAAGATCCAAACACATATTAATCAGATAGGATTTCAGTTTGGTCCCGTAAAATACTATACATATGCTTTTATTTAGCTCTTTTTTTTAAACTAGACCACCATCCTTTTCACAGTCTTACAAAATCCAAACCAAAACAAAAAACAAAACAAGGCATGTTAATGAATCACGAAAGTGTCCATAAAAATGAAAACTATTCAATAAGACTTTTGGAGAGACATATGAGGCAGGGCAACACTACTTATAATCATTGACATGTAATAGGTCAATTTTAATTTCACCAATTATCCTGACCCTATTCCAATGAATTACAGATATAAACATACTGTTATGCAGAATGAAGTTTCATCTATACAACAAATTGAACAAAACAGAAACATGCAACTGATGTGGCAAACAATATGAACAGGTCCCCCTCATCATGAACCACTTTTTAAGAGTTTTATTATTAATTTATTAATAATTTATTATTATTATTATTATTTGGGAAATTTAACTTTCTATTCCTTATGCAGACCATGCGCTCAGAGTAAGAATGCTGGGATCTGGGATCAGCTTGTGCCTTTTACATAGCACTGACTAGGATTACATGGACTGACAGGGTTCTTATTCTGAATGAGGCCCCTGATACAATACCTGACAAATCATTCGGGTAGAGTGGCTCCTAATGAAAGAATATCAAATTCTGGTGTAAAATGTGTCTACATGAAATGTATTCGCTGGAAAAAACATCTTTAAATATAAGTCATTAAGGTGCTGGTTTAAAAGTTGTCTGACTAAAGCGTTAAAACTGCGAAACTCAATCACTAGTACTCAGTCAGTATCATGTTTCCCTTGCCAAGTTCTCAAGTGGGGAAAAAAAAAAAAACAAGACTCAACAGTTTTCTCTGCTGATTCATGCTGGCACTCTCAAGCTCAGTCATTAACCAACACAGCTGCAGGAATGCTTCCTCAGTTACAAGTCTCATTCATTATTTGGTCCTTCTGAAGACAGAATATCCTCACCAAACACAGTTCATTAAAATCTAGTATGTTGAATTCGGTTCATAGCAAAAATACACTGTATAATAGTAATGGCACAGTTGGAGAACAAAAGGTGAAATTGCACATTTTGGGCCCCCAACCCAAAGGCAGAGAAGTACAGGTTAACGTACCACCTAGTTGTGTACACTGAAAGTAGTGGGGGGTATGATGTTAACACAGATGTTCTCCTCCACTGTTACTGTAACATTCAAAAGTACACAATGGATATCAAGGTACACAGAACTGTTCTGTAAGAGATAGATTACATGCATTTCTAAAATGCAAACCTTTATCCCCCCCAATTATGCCCAACCCCAAGCAATTCTAATATAACAAAACAGAACATAAAAAATCCCTTATAACCAGTAGTATTTTGTCAGATATACATTACCTTTCTGGTTCAGGTGCATGTACCATTTGTCAATCACATACAGTATTTACAGTCTGACTGCCACGTTTCTTACTATCACAATGTGGCTTTGTACACTACTGAATCATGGTACATTCAGTTCCATAAAAAGTCCTTTACATATTGTTAACACAATAAAAAAAACTGAAATTAAATGGATACAGTCATGAGACAGTCCACTGTCCTGCAGAGGCTGCTGCTAAACTTTAATTCGGAAACTGTTATCAACATCCAAACCCTTTAGCCTGTTAAACATCTGCTCACTCTGCATTAATCTCTGCTTCGGGCCTCTGCATGGCAAGCTCAGCTTGAATAAAAGCACCCTGTCCCAAGGCAGTGGAATATGCTCGATTACTGTGGGAGGCGGAGTACCCAGGGGCATGATAGGAGCTTGAGCCTCCTCGGTTTAGCACGGAGGATTGTGAATGAGGTACTGGATGATAATCATCCAGATTATCATAGTGGGATTGCAGAGTTTGTCTTTGTCCGTGTGGTGGGTGAGAATAGGATCCAGCATGGTCTTGGTCCAAGCTATCCTGTACATGAGACGGAGGGTTAGACTGGTTGTAGTGTGGCCGTTCTCTAACACTATGCGATCTCTCTGGCTTTGGAGGAGGAACTGGTTTCACAGGGGCTGCCTGCTGGTCATCTTCACTGCTGCCGCTGGTGGTTTTGACCCTGCCTATGTGCCGATCTGGATCTGGACGATCATATCGAGGCTGGAAACTTCTGCTGTCTGGGTGTTCCTGCCAGTGTTTACTGGTTAGCTGCTTGTCTCCCGTTTCAAACTTTGACTCGAGATGTCCACTTTCTGATAGATGCAGGCTCCGTGGGGGAGGCTGTGAATGATGTGAATGGTTAGACGGATAGGTTCTGGAGCTACTTTGCTTTGACGTAGCAACTTTGTCTCCTATTCCATTTCCCTGGCCGTGTTTCTCCGTTTCCATATACATCAGAACGTCCGGATCTGACATCAAGTGTCTGGAGACATGCTGCGATCCAGGAGTTACACTATATCTCCCATCCTTTCCTTCAGCAGCCACCAACACAGTTTTACCAGGATCTGATTTACTGCGCAAGTGTAGCACTTCTACTCCTCCGATGTCTCCTGGCATGTAGGGCCCCACATTGTCATACTGAGACATGACGGGCCCTTTCACCTTTTGCCTGGCTCGACTTTCTCTGCGAATAGAATGCATGCGAAGCCTCTCCGCCTCCTCTGGGTCCCAAGCGAAGTAAACAGCTCCCTTTGAGCCATGGTAAGGAGGCATGTCCCTGCTTACAAAGCTATGCTCTTTCACAGGAATGACATACCGTGACAGGTACTGATAGCCTCCTGATTTGCCACTTGCCCTGCTGAGGTGCACGGCAGCATCACGGCCACTGAAAGAATGGATGTGGCGTAGTCGGATGGTACCATAAGGATCCACATCATAAAAGGGAGCGTTGAGAGGATGTGAGCCAGAATAAGGACTGTACCGGTACTGGACTCTTCCGTTCTCAAAATAAGGCTGCAGCTGCGTGACATGATATTCAGCTTGCGAGGTCTGCTGGTAAGACTTGCAGTGGTAAACCGGGCGCTGACAGTAATAGAGCTCATCTTCTGGAGGAACCTCTGTTCTAGTTATTGGCACTGAACGGATGGCGGTGGGTGGCACATGTAGAGAGTGCACTCTGCGGATAGTTGGGTACACAGCAGCTCCGTCCACTGAGCTATAGCCATGGCGGTGCACTGATCCTGGGGAAATGTATTCCCCCCTCATTGGTCCACGAGATTTGAAAGAGTGGTGGAAGGACCTTGGTCCAATCGTATTATAGCGGCCATCGCCATGGGCTCTGTAAGGAATCTGGGGCTCCGATTTAGATACGTAAGAGAGGTGTGGAGGCACGCTCTCAGGCCGATAATGGCACCCCATGGATGACGGCCCAGAAGGGGCAGCCCTCTGATGGTAGTAGGCCTCCCCAGTGGGCTCAAGTAACGCAGTCTCTCCCTTAGAGCGGTAAACATAAGCTGACTGATGAATGGAAGACTTGCGCTGTGATGGATGAGACTGTGGCAGAGTGTCATCCAATGGTCCAGGCACAGAGGCCTCTGCCAACATTGCATGATAGGTGGCTGCACTGGCAGCCTCAGTTTTACAGAGGGCAGCTGTTGCTATTTTGCTTTCCATTGAGCGAACAGGTGGGATTGGTGGTGTGACTCCATGAGTGTGGTGATGAGGAACACTTTCCACTCGAGAATTCACAGGCTTTATTGCTTCCCAAGGCCTTTCTCCACATGGCTCCTGGGGTGCTGCTGGGGTTGGTGCAATCCGTGCATTGGGCTGAGACTTAGACTGGGTTTGAGGCTGACACTGAGAGTGAGGCTGTGGTTGAGGATGGGATTGAAAGTGCATTTGAGGTTGACTTTGCATTTGACGCTGAGGTTGGAGAACAGCTATTGGCTGCTCGGGGAATTTTGTGGTTGGTGGTAGCAGGACACTTTCAGAGGTGTGAACCTGAGGAAAAAAAAACAGTACATTATTTATTGATTATTGGTATCTCTTTTCAACTGTAACTGTACACCTGCTGTGTATATATATATCATGATAAGTAACAACAAAAAGCTCACCTCAGAACTTTGTTGTGGTGTGACTCCGGATTCCTGTCTGTTGGTGGTTGGTGTGGTGGCACCACTGGTGGTGCTGCAGGTTGCAATGCTGACTGGGGTCTGGCCCACAGAAGGCTGGTGCCTCTCTGGACTTTTGTGTGTAGGGGGAAGCTGAACAGGTTCACTGGCAGGAAGAGCACTCTGGCTTGACACCACTGGAGTGACAATATCCTCGCTATTGCAGGGAGTGTTTGGTGACTTTGTACTGTCTACTATGGTGAGGGGCAGGCTCGTTGAGTGGGTTAGTGTTGCAGTTTGGGTGCAGGGAGGAGGTGAAGAAGAGGTAGCAGGGATCTGTGGCACATCCACAGCTTCCTCTTGGGATGTCTGTGATTGGAGGGTGGGCGGGGGTGGCCAGTCAAGTGTTTCTAGAAACTCCTGTGGCCTGAGAGGTGAGATTGGTGTGGGAGGTCCAGAGGATCTCCTTTGCGAAAGAATAGTGGCCTGCTGAGCAGATTCAGCTAAGGCTAAAGCCAGCATGCGGGCAGCGTTCTTTGGTTGGGGAGGAGGAGGGAGTAGGGACACAGAGCTTACTGGAGCAGTGCCCTTTGGTGAATCCAGAGCTACAGCTCCTGGGAAAGGACAAAACAGAGGGTTCTGAAGTTCAGGAGGAGTACGCTAATTGTCAAGAGCAGGAAAAAGAGGGAAATGTTAAGTGTGCACTATCTACAAAGTTTTTTTTTCTACATTTAGGACAGGCATGCATAGTGTTAAAGCTCAAAGCCTGGTAAACTAAACCTGAAAGCAAAACAGTTACTTTATTAACAAAATCCAATCAAATCATGACTTGAAAATTTTCTTTAAAAAAAAATCAAGATCATACAAGGTGAGGGGTTCAAATGAAACAGTTGCTTACTTACCTGCTTGCTCTTTGGCATTGGCAGCCAGTGTTGGTTCCAGTGCTTCCTTCCCTGATGCCTCTTTGCTCTGTCTACACTCACACAAAGCAGATTTAGAGAGCAGCTCTAGCTGAATGGCTTCACTCAAAGGCAGATCAGTGGATTTTAAAGACAATGAATTAATTTTGGCAGGAGAATCTTGGGGAGATAAAGGAGAAGGTGGAGCTGGCTGGAGCACAGAGCTTTCTTGTCCTTTATTAGGTATGGAAACATCTACAAGTTCAGAGATACTTAAGGGTGCCAACATGGAAAACTTTTCACTGCTCTCAGGAGACTGAAACATAACTTTCTCAGCAGAGGCCATCTGCTTAGCTGGACTGAGGTCAGGAGACTGATAAGGGCTGATGACTTTCGCTCGGAGAGGTGAAACCGGCTCTGAGTCACTGGCACTGCCAGGACTTCTCTTCAGACTTGCAGCATCAATTTCAGGTGAAAGGACAGAACTCTCTGCCAAAGGCAAACTGCATTGAAAAGACATGGGGTCAAAGTCCAGAGTGGCCATGCCAATGTCAGGAGGACTCAAATCTACATCATCAGCGGAGCGGGGTGGAGAGATAAGAGCTGGCACACAGATTGGGCCGTCATCCCCATCACTGTCTCCATGGCCCACGTTATCATAAGAATTACAGTGCTGTCTGCTGTCCAACAAGTCACCATTGAAGGATGTCGACAAGGCATCACTGCTGGAACGAGGTCTCCGGGGTCGATACATTTTAGACTCGCCTGGGTTTAAAGCACAGACATAAACATTAGGACAGCCATGGACTTTGTCTTTTACTGTTCATTTGTTGTTTTTAGGTTATCCCTCAACATTTTGTTTAGTGCAATCACTTTTTTTATTGTTGCTTTTGTTTGGAAAACAAAGGTAAGTATTGTCTATGTTGAATAGCTGAATGAATAAAGTGCTAACCCAAAAAAATAAATAAATAAAAAAAAACAAAAAAAAACCTCAAAGAAAGAACAGCCAGACAATCACTTTCAATACAAGTAAATCATGTGGGTAAACTTACCTTCAACATTGTGTAGTGAGCTGAGGGACTCCTCACTTTTGGCAGATCGAAGTGTGCCAGTATCTCCTCTACCTCCTGCTAATGCCATGGCTTTGAGTTCATTAGGTTCACTAGGGTTGCGGTGCAGTTTGCGCTTAGACATAGAGGAAGACTTGCCAAGGTTAAAGAATGATCGCCAACTACCAACTGGAGACTTCTTTGACTTTATAGGTTGTCTTTTTCTGTACAGGAGAAGAAGTAACATGAAATAAACCCCCATTGTACAAAATTTGTACAATTTGTTTATTAAAATAACAAAAAAATGGACATTTATGTATATTTTAATAGTAATTTAACAAACCTCTCAGTGGGGAATTCAATGACTGTGTGGAATTTGCCCTGTAAAGCAGCAGGTCCCTCACCCACTTCAATATATTTGCTATCTGCAGTGACAGGAGAGTTGATCTGGGCTTGAGTGCGTGCCTGAGCTTCCTCTAGCGTTAGCAGCTTTGTGGAAGGAGAGGGCACCAGCAGCGATTTAGGACGAGACAAAGAGTTGTGACCTACAAAAGCAAAGAGAAAGAACAGTAACAGAAAAATGAATATGCAACAATTGAGCATGTATTTGAAAAAAAACATTTATTCAAATTCAGGATGAACAATTCCTTTTCGGTCATTTATCTCACATACCTGCTCCCTCTCTGATAAGTGAGCTCAGTTTAGGGCTGAAGAGAACATCAACATGGTTGAGAATAAACTCAACCACCACTGACTGTATTCGTACTTCCATGAAGGCAGCTGTTCCACTAAAGCATGCAGACTCTATCTGCTTAGACCTGATAAGATATAAACAACAGGTTATTGCAACAAAGTGCATAAAATTTAAATAAGCTCTACAAACGTATGTGAGCAGTAGTAAAGCTTACCTCAGCAGGTTGGGAGCCCAAACAATGGCCAGATTCTTACTGTGCATGTTGGTGACATAGCTGAAAGTTGCCAGTCGTGACAAATGCCGCATCAGAAACTCCAAGGTTCTAAAAAGAGATTGACAAACAAATTAAAATATTTTAATCAAATCTACTTAACCTGAAAAAGCTGACATTACATTTACTGTTTTTTTTTAAGGAACTGGCTTTGTTTTGTATTAAAGCAATTGATACCAAATTCACCCCCCCCCAACAAACTTTTGCTTACAAATTATATTTTTACAAGTATTATTTGTAAACGGAGGGACGGAGCAGGAAATTCTCTGAAGAAATGTACCATGAAAGCCTGCAGGGGGCACTGCAACCATTCTCTTACCTGTAATGTGGAGGAGGCAGCTGCTGAATGACATCATGTATTTTGATCAGCCTCTCCTCATCTGTAGCTGCTGACACTGCCTCCTAAAGGGGTGGGGAGGGGGGTAGGGAGGAGGGAAGCTGAATCAGTGTCGATGTTGACCAGTGGTCCTTTTAAAAACACCAGTAACAACCATTCTTTCACCCAGCCCAAGCAGAGCACTGCACTTTCACACCACTTTACTGAGCCAAGTACATAAAAGCAAAGGACTCAACCCCACCTTCAATGGCCATCTCTATTTCCGTGCTCCCATAGCAACCTGGAAACATTTGTGCCTTCTTTACCCCTGCTTGTTTTATTTGCAGAGGGCTTTTATCTTGAGAAGCTGTAAATGTTCCTGTTCTATTTTGCATATGGATAAACTGAGAGTCTCGCCTCTGAAAATAAAATCAGCCCAGCTTTTTGCATATCCAAATGACTTTTAAATGGTCAACATAATAAAAAGGTTTCAAACATTAATACAGGGCCTGTACTTGCTTAACTTAGATAAGCGACAATAACTTCTTTTCATACTAAGACGTGACACCACAAAGATTTAACCGCAGTGAAATATGGACACTCATGTTTTTCCCGATACAAAAGCCTCCATCAAACACAGAACATTTGGATGTGAAAGTGCGTGTCTGTTGTGCTGCTTTAAAGCGATACTGTCTCAATGACAGAAGTGCTTACTGAGAATTTCTCATAGAGCTGATAAGTAAGCAGTGGGTTGGGCAGTTCTCGAAAGTACAGCTTGCAGAGTGAGCCCACACAGTGGATGTCCTGGATGTAAACATCTTTCGTCAGGTCTGGGATCTGCTCTGAATCAAATTCATGCCTAAAGGGGAAAAAATTACAATTACAAGTTGACTTGGCAACGTTGCAACTGAGAGAAACGTGCAACCTTTAATGGAAATAAAGTTATTATTCAATGTTTTGACAACATTCAGAAATACGCATATATACTGTATATTAAAGTTACTTTTTGTTGTGTCAAGTACAAACCTTCCAAAAAAGGTTGAGGCAGTATGTGAAATGCTAATAACATCAGAAATCAGCTATTTTAAAATCTACTTTGACAACACAAAGACAAGATAATTATTGTTTTACCTTATTAACTTCAATGATTTCATAAATGTACGTACAATCTGAAATTGTCTGTCTATATACATCATTTTAGGTTTATACCCAATGTATGTAGCTGAAATTGATGCCTGCAACACATTCCAAAAAAGTTGAGACAAATACAGTTTAAGACTAGGAACATTGTTAAACAAGCGAAGCAATCATGCTTGGGTAAAAAAGGAGCATACAGGAAAGACCTTGTCCTTTCTGAGCAAGGATGGGTTGAGTCTCGCCACGTTGCCAAAACACCCATCCACAAAAAATCCAACAGTTTAGGAACAACGCTCCTTAATGAGAGATTGTAAGTATTTAAATCCCCCTCTACACTGAATACTGTCAAGGGTTACAGAGAATCTAGAGAAATGTCTGTGCATAAAGGGCAAGGCTGAAAACAACAACTGAGTCCCTGTGACTACAGATTCCTCATACAGCACTGCAATAAAAACCAGCATGCTTCTGTGATGGATAGCACCACACGGGGTTGGGAATACTTTCATAAATATTTGTCAATAAACATGTCACTGTTAAGTTTTTAGATTGTCTTATTGAAATAATGGATGTTGTTTTCTAGGCCAAAGAAGAAAAGCACCATCTGTACTGTTACCAGAATAAAGTTCAAAAGCCAGTGCTCCCCGTGCACCCATCAATGCCTGAAAAAATTCAAAAAGTATTTTACTGTTTTCAGTTTGAAACAGGTCAAACAGAATGTACTAATCACTGCTTTCTGTTTTTATTATCATTTTCCATGCTGTCTCTTTTTAAAATTGAGGTTTGCATAAACTGTCCAAATAAACAACAATAACATAGCAGTATTATCTCAAAATCAACACACAGCTACATACATATAACAGAGACTAATATAAACCTATGTGTTCAGGGCATCATATTCCCAAAACTACTTCCACTATTTCACTGGCAATCTAGAATTCTGCATGAGCAGATCAGATCTACAGAGTAGTGTGCTTCTGTAATTTTCAGCTTAGTTTCTTTCTCATACCGCAGTTTCTGGATGTTGGAGGCGATCCCAGAGAGTCGATACATTCCATCCACAACTCCATGCTTCTCAATGAACTCTGTGCAACTCTTGAGTACCTGGGGAACTAGAGATTGAAATGAAGTGTTAGTAACATTGTTACTGTTAATTTTAGGTAAGTTCTTTATTGAAATTTAAGGTACAAACCTTACGCATATTGAAAAAAGATTTAAAATATTCTGCAAAATACTATACAGCACAAGATAAACAGTATAAGACTGTATGTCAGTATTCTAGATGCAGGCTACATTTAACTGTTAACTATTCATTCTCTATATACATCATTTTAGTTGTGAATATACCCAATGCATGTTTGGCATTTTTTAGTCTGGATTAGTTTGCAAAAGAAGAAAAATATTCTTAGATTTCACATAGTGGACACAGAGGACACCAATCACATAAAAAAGTGACAAAAAATATTCTGGGCAAGATTATAAGATAAGCCTTAAAAAAAAGAGGACTGTCTCTTTCATCAAAAATATTTGCACTGCAGTGACACCAGACAAACAGCAGACATCCAACTTGGCCTTGCAATGTCTCATTCAAGAGTAGACCGATCAGAGACAGACACCCTTGCCTGGCCTCTTACTCCTAACAAACGTTATCCGGATGATGAGTGAGACTCAGACCCTCTCGGAAGCAGCTGTTCAACTGAATTCCTGACATAGCAGTTTGCAGCGGAAAATCCGCAGGCCATATAAAACCCTTTCTGAGCCACCTCAAATGTACCCATAAGGATGAAAATGCTGCATTCTCTAAGAGATGGAATATAAACAGAGTTAAAAGCACACCTCTTTGAGGGTTCTAAATTAGAGAGACAAAAGGCGAGTGTACTCTTACATTTATGAAGCCATGGTTTGTCAGTTAAATTTCCAGATCTATAAGTAAAAAGTCTAAAGAGTTTTGAAATTACGTGATATTAATATTGCCTTACGCTAAGTGTGGAATATTTGAAGGGAAAGTTAAGTCAGTGTCATCTTTGTATGAGAATGTCTGGGACTGAATATATGGTCTGACATCAAACTCCTAAAACACACACAGACTTCAAAGATATGTGCTCCTGGCCTGGGGTGAGGCAGGTAAACACTGAGGAGAGCAAAAAGATCAAATCTTTCGAGGAACAACAAACTTCAAATGTACCTTGAGCATATTCTTAGCATCTGTAGCACCAGGTTTGATAGCACTTGAAAACACAACATCTTGCTCGATATACAAAATTCAGCACAACAACAGAAATAAAAAGTCCCTGCTGGCATGCTGACGGCATCTGCAGCCACAGTTTTTTAAAATGACAAAAACATTTATAAACGACAGTGCAAAGGTATAGCCTACACACAGGAGTAAACTTTTATTTATTATCAGCTTTTTTATGATTTTCAGAATTTAGTAGTTACTGAGGGAGTTTTATCCTACACGTGGTCGATTAAGAAAGCTTGTAACTGTGTAACAGTATTAACCAACATTTAAGGAAAAACCCAAGACTCTTTCCTTTTTTTTCATCCTTTAACTGTAAAAATGTTTGCAAAGGCTTCTCAAGTTGCATGGCACCCTTTGAAAAGGACAAGCCGTGGGTTCTGAGGGTAGGCAATAGCTCAGGGCAGATTTCGTAGACTAACAAACAGACCAAGAGCTGAAAGCTGCCAGGGAGCTTTGAATCAATGAAGAAGAAATCTTCAGACACTGCCTTCCAAACCATTCCATCTGACCTTTACACCCCTTTGAGCCAAGCAGTTGCTGTGGTAACTAAACCAAGCAGGCGTAGCCAGAAGAGGTGCTGGAGGTTGAGTGTGTCTTCTAGGCCACACAGGCAGAATTACTCACTGTGGCTGGAGTCAAGCCAAACCACGCATAACATGGGCAGCATGACCTCCCTTTTACCCAAGCCATGAGTTATAGAACAAGGTCTGTTTTACAGGCCAGCAGGGGCTTTAAGAACTTACCGTCATGGCCTGAGTTGAGGAGGTGCTCTCCCAGGTCACAGCCAAACACCCTCTCCCTGAGGATCCCTCGCTGCTTCAGCTTCTGCTTGGTGGGCCGGGACTTCATGAAGGTGCGCAGGAATGTGATCAATTTCCCGTGCTTCTTGGACACTAAAAAACAATTTGAGATAATAATCTTATTAAAGTGATGCATGACGGACACCTTTTGACCTAATGTACACTAAATGGATGAACAGAATTTATCACCTACATGGACTGAATTTAGACAGAAATTAAAGGCTATAACATCTTGGATTTGGAGAATAAAGGATTACCACCATCACAGCCTTTGCTGTTCTGTCGAAAAAGGAATTTCCTAAATCCTCTACTGAAAACTGTTGCTAACACAGCTCTGAATAACAATAGGCTGATCCTCCAGCAGAGCAGAACTACTGCATTCACCCAAAAATGGACCTAAACGAGGACACTTCATCCTCTTTCAAGTTATTTGGGCATTGGTTATTGTATAGCTGGCAAAGCAATACTGACCTGAGTTGTCCACTCCCCCTCCTCTTAGGATTCATGATATAAAGTAATTTCCACCAGAAGAATGCAAAAAGCCAGTAGCCCACATGGAGCAACTACCTACCTAACAAATATTACAACACTACAAAATGCTCTCGGGGGTTCAGTTATGAAATAGCCTACACAGTGTGACTGCCAAGCTCTAATTACACAATGTTAGGTTTATGAAGCTGTGAATAAAGCTTTCCATTCATCTGATTCTTAAAGCAGAATGAAATACAGTGCTGGACATCAGAATGTTTGGTCTGCTATGCTGCCTTTACTGACATTAAGTGCTGACCTTCACAGCCATGCAAATGAAATCCAGAAGGCTGATGTGTAATTTGCATGAGCAGTTCTTGGACTAACTAGAGGAAACATGGGCAGGAGGATAATGAACAGAGAAATGCCATGTAGCTCACTGGAAAATAAAAACAACTTCACCTACAGTGCTAAGACTCAAGTGAAACCAATTCTTTAAACACTTTTGTTTCTGAACTAAGGTAGTGTACAAAACCATATGTCTTATTTTCATAATATAAAAACATATAAAGTATTTAAACTAGAAGGCCATCTTGGCTTTACTACTTCTTTTCCCCCGTTTTCACACAGAAAACATTCCCAGAATATCCCAGGGAACTGTCTGGATCGAGAAGCTGTTCAGATCAGAAAGTCAGCTGTTGCTTGAAACACATGTGGAAACTATAAAGAGCCAAAGTCTGAGCTATCATAACTGTTGTGATCATTGGGCCTCACAAGTGACAGACTCAAACTGAGTGCGTGTGAGTGTATGCACACTTTGACATAGTGACGTTACCGGAATAATTGCAATCACTCTCCGTCTCTGTTAAACGCATTCCATTCCGAACTAACTAAAAGGACATATGCAATCTTCCATTACAGTGAAACCACAATGGACAAAACAGGATCTGAAGTTGACATTGAAAATGGATTTTTTGTGCCTCATTTATCTGCAGCCTATTTTTTGACATATTGACTGGAAATTTATTCATGATGGGACATTTCAAAGCCATTCTAACTGCGCCCCATTTTGTTATATTCTTCTTGTTAAAAACAGTTAAAGAATTTTCTCAAAGGGTTAAGATTCCATCACAAGTATTTCCTGTTCTACTTTTCAAGGGCCAGTAAAGTCACAGATATGGATTTCACAGATCCACTTCTGGCATAGCCAGCCAACTCAAGGGCCCAGAGAAGCTGCAGGCAAGGAGTGTTTGTTAGCACAGCAAGTGTGTCATTTATGCTGCAGAATGAGTGATTGTCCCAGGCTGTACCAAACCCTGTCTGAGGAGACAAAACGATACAATGTGCTCTACTAATGAATATCACAGAGTTTGGATCGGAAAGAATTACCATGAGCTGCTCTATTCAAACGGTTTACACCACATTTAAAATTTGTGCAATGTGCCCTGTCATTTGCAATATATGCAAATATGTATCTTATGCACAGGCATTACACTGGCAAATTGGGATTTAGAAATGAAACGTCCCTCGCCTCGCCTCTTACTGTGTCCAAATGCAGGGAAATTATATTTTAAACAAGTACACAAAAGTATACCTACAGACAAGCCATTTATCATGTAAAGAAAATATACTGAATATTTAAACCAAGCCGAAAAAAATCATTTAACAGCTCTGCTCTCACAATTTGACAGCCATGCCTGCTGCTTCTCTAAGGAAATAATTCATGGAGAGTGTAGCCATACGCTGGGTCATTTGTGGTGAAATAATGCGGAGAGAAAAACAAGAACCCAAATTAAAATCTACTGAGATATGAGTGCTAAAGTACAATAAATGGAAACAGAACATCAAGTTCAAACTACTGTACAGACTAACTCTTTAGCCTTCAGCTTAACTTCAGACAATAAAGAAAAAACAGCCAGCTCAAGTCAACAGAGTATGCTAAATGTCCAGGATAATATACAGAAAATAACTATAACTCTTACCTGAAAAGGGACTTTGCTTCAGCTCAAGTTCAGACTAAGAGTAAGACTAAGATGAAACCTGAGCCTGGCCGGCCAGCACAGCAATAACCGCAACCACAGCTCCATTCACCCGGTGTAAACTTACAGTCAGCTTTTTCCCCCTTTTGCATTTTTTCCCCCTCAGTAGTTGTCCAGCCCCCAGTATCAGCTTTCAGCCACGGAAGCCCGTAAAGAAGTCGATGATTTGGGCGGACTAAGCCAAACCGCTCCCACCACCATGCACAGATCCAGAGGAAAGCTTTCAGCCCCGTCTACAGCTATAAAACACATGCACTCCAGCAGCACAGCCAAACCCTCCCTGCTTATCTATGCTTTTTATAGTCAAATACTTACTTTCTACAACAGCACTGTTGTTGTAGACAGGTTAAATGGCATTTGAAATATTTACTTTTTATGGCCAATAGCTCTTCTGACTCAGAACTATCAACGTATCTCATACTGCTAAACGCTAACTAAAGCCACGCCTTCTACTGAAAGGCCAAGCTCCATTCAGCCACTGACAAGGAAAACCTCGTCTTCTATTAACTGCTATAAACTATGTCATAGCCTATGTTGCTTAAGTGCTGAACGATAAACTAGACAAAACATTTCTGCTACATCCAGGCGCTCAAGTGTATCAATAATGAATTAAACTATTTATATATAACCTACAGAACTCTACAAAATTCAAACATTTAACAATCACACAGAAAGTAAATATAATTATAACAAACATAATATAACTAATATAATTATAATGTAATAATACAATCATAACAAATATATTTTTTCAGTATTGAGTGTGTTTACCCTTTGCCTTTATTGCAGCTTCCATTCTTTTTGGGAGAATTACTATCAGTTTCCCAAAGAAATCTGCAGGGGTATTTTTCTTCATCTTGTGAACTCACACTTAAAAGTTGGTTGTAAGTTCTGTTTCTCACAATTCAAGTAATCCCAAACACATAGGATAATGCTGAGGTCTGGACTTTGGGGTGGTCAGTCCACTGTTCTGAGAACACCAACAATCTTTGCTTTATTTATGCACTTTCTTTTTCAGTAACAGCTTCTTGACAGCTACACTTTTCAGACTCACAGCATAGAGTTGTCTTCACACAGTGAAAGGACGGACAAAAACACCTGTGAATTTTTCAGACATGAAACAAGAGCTGAGCTTGATTTTCTTTCTTTCTAAGATGAAAACTTGAAATATCTGACGACACCAGAAGTGGTGGCCTATCAGGTCTTGCATGCCTGTTGAGAGCCCCATTTTCTCCATATCTTAGAATTCTTTAAACTCCAGTTTTGGAAACTCTGGTTTTAATCACTTATATAATACATTTAAATAAATATACGGTGGTCTCTGACTTTTGCACAGTGCTGTATACTTATCTGAAACTAAAAGGAGGGGAGGTCAACACTGGTCTGTTTAACACTAACACTGTATGTGCTAATTAAATAAAACCCATTTACCAGCGTACTTGTACATTATTACAGCTTTCAAATAACAGAGTACACAGTACAAAGAGTTATTGTTTAATATGAAACCAAATTAAAATACTGCTCAAAACCACTCGCAAGACAGTCAGACAGACAGAGAGCGAGGGAGAGGGAGGGAGAGGGAGAGGGAGAGAGAGAGAGAGAGAGAGAGAGAGAGAGAGAGAGATAGAGATAGAGAGAGAGATAGAGAGAGAGAGAGGCTGCAGTAGAGCCACAGATCCGTTTTCCCATTACAGGAGTTTTATGCACAATACACTTCTCACTCACTCACTCACTCACTCACTCTCTCACACACACACACGTTGAGAACAGGTCAGGCAGGAAATGGACGATATCGCCTAGGAGAAGAGGACAGTTACTGCTATGTGTTCCTTCAACAGTCTCTCACAGTCACACTCAGCTGTCTTGGCTTGTTAACACGCACAGCTGCCCTTTGCTCCTATGAGAGGAAGATACTGCTGCTCCACAAGGAAGTGAACGATGCAGAGAGAGTCAAAGAAGCAACATCTGGACTAGCACCTGCTCAGACTGAAGGCTAAACTTACTCTAACTGGGGCTCCACAACAAAACATTCTGTGTGTGAAGTACAGCACTCTGATGAACTGAAACAATTATATGATATACAAATCCTGTAAACGACCTGGCTTGGAAAGATTAGCAAAATGAAATTTAACACTGAATTACTATAAGCAGGCAAAGAAAAGATAAGCTTAACCATTGACTCAGGGCATGCCAGTCTCAAGACAGTCACACTGAGTGAATGATTCATAAAGCTCTGCCAGTTCAGACAGACTTCAGACAGCCTGAACACTCTCCACCTGCTGGGGAGCTGAAGAAAAGCTTGTATTTGAACACACCAGGGTAGCCTACAAGAATGTGGTATTTCAGACACCACAAAGAGACTGTAGTTCATATTGTCATAGGACAAAGCTGGAATTATTTTATAGCTCTGCTTTGACAGTGTTTAGTAAATCAGCTTTGAGACGGTGAAAGCCCAGCATTCTACCAATGCAGCTGGATCACAACTGCTTATAGATGGATATTAAAGAGCACGGCTGCAAATGCGGACATGATGTCAGAAGTAGGGCAGATTAGAAAAACACTGATGGAGAGAAATTTGGGCACAGGTACATTAACTGTTGAGTTGGCCTCAGTAAAATGCAAAGCACAGCACATTATACATTTTAAAAAAGAGGAAGTATAAAGGTGAATGTCACTGAAGATAAGTGGACAAGTGGAAGGTTGAAAGTCAGACAAAGGACAGAGTGAGCCAAAAAGTGAAAAGGCCAGAACTTTTCACACCTAGTACTGGGCAGTATTGATTACATTCCATGTACCAATATTTTCCAAATACAATATTGTACAAAAGCTTAAGAAAGAAGTTATAAATATCTTGGTTAGAAAAACAGTTATAAAAACACAAGCTTGGTTCCTGACTTTTCAGTGCACTCCAGCCATCACATCAATTTGTCAATTTCATCATCAGAACATCTGATGTAATTTAATGAAGGACTGACTGGCCAAACTTGGTACTGAATTTTGACTGTAACTACTGAGCTTTCTCAAGAAGAGGTTTGGAAATGATTAAAAAATACTTTGACAAAATCTAATTTCCACAATTTCCACTTACCCTAGATACAGTCGACCAACCGAAACAAGTCTTAAGTCCAAATTTTGCTTCTTTAGTTTAGAACTGGAGCTGCAAGTGGCACTGCTAACAAACACTAGAACTTAGTCAACCAAACAGCCCAAATAATTTCTGCAGCAATACACCAAAACTTCTCTACTCAATCAAACCACATTCAGATCTAAAGGCAAAAATGTAACACCACGATACTTCAAGAACTTATACACAATAAATATTTTTATCTTATTTTCTAAACTGATAAATTGGACCAAAGTAGTACCTCTTTGAAAAAGTAGTCAAAAATTATGAATACAATTATTTCTATTTAACATTTCACTGCACTATATCCAATTAAGCAGGACTAATCATGCTGTCTTTGTAATCAAATATGCAGATGGGAAGTGTTTAAGTACTGACAGTAACCATGATATGCTAGTAAAAGCATACTGTGACATATTTTGATGTAATTTATAACAATAGCGATAAATATTGTCATACTGTCCAACCATATCCAGACCACATTTAAGGTCGCACAGAATAATCAATGTGTTTTCGGACAGAGAACGACTTACTGTTATTTTGTTTGCCTTGCAGCTCCAGTTTAAAACTAAAGAACTAAAGTTTAGACTCCTAACATGTCTTCTCTGACTGACTACATCTGGCATAAGCGGAGATTTGTGTAAATTAGATTTTTTCCTGAACTATTCCTTTAAGCTAACTCACTGACAGACACACAACCACTATGTACCGCTGTTTGTATTAATACTAATGTTAAAGGTTTTTTTAACAAACAAAAGCTTACTACCCTGATGAATGGCTTACACAGAATTTTCTCTGAACGCTTTTGCAAGGTAATTTATATAATGGAATCAGATGATATTCAAGCACTTTAAGTACTGCATGCTTAAATAATGATCTGCTATTTGAGATTTTTAAGATAAAATTTTACAGTTTTTAAAAATCAATGTAAAATATGAACTATAAGAAGTTTAAACAGTTTCTTTAACCAGACAGAAACCAGATTATCAAATTACCTGTTACCTAATCATTTTTTGAACTGCTATTCCAGAGCAAATTACATACATTGCATTTAATTAAGTTTTTGTTATCCATCAGTACTGCTAAAGTTAAACTTTGGTTAAATTCAATATTGGCAAACTGATGTAGACAATACAATGCCCAGCACTAGCAAAACATAAGAGTACAGATAAGAAGCACACAGATAAGTGTAATGAGAATTCCTATATGGACTACCCATTGTGAAATTAGTGGAGTAGTGATTTTAAGACAGATTCGTGACTAACTACAGACTAATGTCAGTGGTTTTCAAGAAGACTCTGTAAAGGCTCGGGCAGTGACTGTGCAGAGAAGCACAGCAGTGGATTAGTTGGTGGTTAGGTACACAGAGAAACTGTTTGGTCTACCTGAGCTCAGCCTGTAGGGGTTTAATGGGTCGGGCACCCATGCACTGTCCTGCTTTACACTTTCCATCTCCAAATCTGCATGCAGGAGAGAGAGAAGCCAGGGAGCCTGTTAGAGAACATGTTAACAGCAGCCGCCCTTGAAACTCTCCATTGGTTTGGCAGTTGACACTTTGGAAGGAGAGGAAAAAAGGGCATTCCCTATGTATTAGGCAATGTTTTACAACGGTTCAGAGAGGGCCATAAACTGATAATAAACAAGCCAGTGCAGTAAAACGCACTGAAAGAAAAACAGATTAGGCTACTATAAGGAAGAGTGCTGTGTGTGGGTCAGAGTACTCTGTAGTGCTGAGAACCAGAAATGTCACCGAGTGACAATGCTAGAGCATAGGCGATTATATGAGATAGATAGATATAGAGAGAGAGAGAGAGAGAGAGAGAGAGAGAGAGAGAGAGAGAGAAAGTGAGAGAAAGTGAGAGTGATTGAGAAAAAAGGCAGGAGAGAGCAAGAGAGAAAGAGTGACTGAGAGAATAAGAGGGGAAAAGCATGAGACAGAGGAGGAAGAAAGAGGAAAAAATGAGGGGGGAGGGGGCAAGACAGCGAGAGAAAGCATTAAAATGCGAGACAGAGGACAGAAAAAGAGAGTCATAGAGAGGGAAAAAGAGTGAGTGAGACAGAGAGATTAAGACAGAGGGAAAGAAAGAGGGACAGAGAGAAAGAGGAAGGGAGAGTGGGAGAGAAAAGAGTGCAAGAGACAGGAGGAAGAGAGAGAGAAAAGGAGAGAGTGCAAGAGAGAGTCAGAAAAAGGGAAAGAGAGGAAAACAGACAGAGATACAGGGAAAAAGAAAGCAGAAAGAGGGAAGAGGAGCAAAAAAAAGAGTAAAAGAGAGAGTGAGCAAGCAAGATGGAGTCAGAGTGTGTACATGTGTGTGTATGTGCATGTGTAAGAGAGAGAGAGAGTGTGACCACGAGCTAGTGAGCAAAAGTGTAGGCTGAGTGAGTGAATGAGAGGGGGAAGAACAGTAGGTGAGTAGGAGAGAATAAGAGGGGAAAAAAGCATGAGAGAGAGAAGAGAGAGAGAGAGAAAGAGAGAGAGAGAGAGAGAGAGAGAAGAAGGAAGAAAAAAGAGACAGAGTGAAAGAGAAAGAGGGAAAGAAAAATAGAGGGGGAGTGAGAGGGAAAGAAAGAAGGAAGGGGAGCAAAAGAGAGAGAGTAAGAGAGCAAAAACAAGTGTGAGCGGGAGAACGAGAACGAGAGAGAGAGAGAGCGAGAGCGAGCGAGAGCGAGTGAGAGAGAGAGAGAGAGAGAGAGAGAGAGAGAGAGAGAGAGAGAGAGAGAGAGCAAAAGTGTGAAAGGAGGCGTGTTTTTGATTTTTACAAAGTGTAAAAGAGTGAGTCATTGAGGTGAAGCATTTAGGGAGAATACCAGCACGCACAGGGTGGGAACAGACTCCAGGAGGCCGGCCGCAGACCAGAGCAGGGGGACGCTGAGGGTACAGTGGAAGGAGGCACAATGACACGTCATTACACATGCATGGGAGAGCACAGCACGCTCATGCAAATACACATTAAACAAGCTCATCAACAGCACAGACAATGGGCCACTGGGAGAACAGTGATTATGCAAGCAGTAAAGTAAAAAGCAAAACCGCAGCCAAAAAAAGCTTTATATGCGCTTTTAAGCTATTATGCTCCTTGTGTGGTAAAGCATGTAAACACCATGTACTGCATTCCAGTGTTATGTTGTCCTTTGTGATAAAACAGTTTTAGAACACATCCTGAGGCATGACGCTATTCTTTTCCCTAGACTCGCTCATGTGCTGATTGCATAGCGCCGTGTCATCATGTCCCTGTTCTGATATTGTTCCCTGAAGAGCACGCAGGCTGCATATTCTGCCCACCCAGAGGCAGCACACTGATTAGTTTGATGAGTCAGGATGAGTCACTCCTTTGGGGATGCCAGCATGCACTGATGTGAAGCATGAAAAGGCCAGAATCTCAGCAAAAGGCTTATGATGTTAGAAAGCCCTCTAGAGTATTTGGCAGGGCGGTCAGTCCAAGAGATGATGTAAAGTGACCTCTCAAGCTTTCTGAGCATGAACTGAGACCACTCCAAACATGACAAATTTCATTACTCGTTCTGTAAATGTTCCGAGTTTGAAACACTCCATTTCACACTTCCGTTAAATCATGAGGTTTATTTCGCCTGTCTTTGTAGCATTTGGCCACATCAGCTGTGTGCTTAATGTACTGTAAATAAAGGAGTTCTGTATACTCTATATGGCATGATCCATGAATACTCATAAGATTCCTCCCTATGACTCTGAACAACTGAATGTTGGAAAAAAACAACTTTACAAGAACTGTTGCAAATGCATAAGGTCACAGAATTTGCAGAGAGGGCAGAAAGAAAAAAGAACTAGATTTGGAAGTGAAAGCTCAGAGTGAGCACAAATTACTTTATCTGCAGATGGTGGACAGAATGCTTGGAGGTATGAAACATTTTGCATCTCAGTTTTATCAGAGTTTTGAAACCCAAGATGACAGCTTAGGAAACTGTGCCACAAGAAGTGAAAAATATTCCTCCATTATTCTCTTGAATAGCGACCGGTATAGTATCACATGACAGCATTTAGTCTTCTCCTGTCTGACAGGGCTCTAGGAGCAGTGATTCATCTGACAGTATCCATGAGTTTCCTCTCAGCACCTGTTCCTGTTCACAGACACAGCCATACCACACAGGCTTGCTGCACGGCTGCTTCAGCACATCACTTCAGATTTCCTGCACAGGTCCCCTATCTCTCTTCATAATCAGCAGCACTCACATACAGCATTAACCGCCATCAGACACACATTGCCTATATGCTTTTACACAGTATGACACATGCTGTAAAATCCTCAACAGCTTTGAACAGGATTTAGATGGTGTGTAAGCAAATCACACAAGTATTACTTCTGACATTTGTTTTTTTTCTGTTACCTGGTCTGTTTTTTATTACTTTCACTGCAAGAGGTAAAATGCAGAGGTTGTTATTTGACAAACAGCATTGGTAGTTTGTGCATATATGTGTGTTTATATATTGGTACCTGGTTTTGGCACCGAATTGGTGACAGACTGAGGGACCTTGTCGTTAATCAGCTCCACACACTCACTGGGAAAGAAGCCAACCTACAGAGAGCAAGAGAAAATTGCTAAAGCATCAACACATCACATTCTGCACATCAACAAAAAGCACCTTGCACATAGACCCTTATAGCAGTGTCATAACACAGAAAGCATAACAGCCAGAATAACAAACATTACAGCAAGACATCATTAGTCACTGGCCTGAAATGCTTGTTTTGGAATGTGACTAATATATGAAGCAAATAAATAATTTGGCAAGGCCTTCAAATGAGGTGGACTTTGACTCAGAGCAGTACTTTCATGATGGTCTAGTTTTATCATTAGCAACACGGAGTGTCACATTATTAAAACTGTAGCTGAAGAAAGCTCTTGCACTTACAGTAGGCATGGCTGAGTACAGTTTAATTTGCTGTAGTATAGTAAATCGCAAAGGGCCAGAGCCACAGAGAGGCACTAAGGAGGCCACAAATAAATTACTTAGTAATTTTCTGTTTTGTCAGTTTATTAAATCTGCTTCGGCCATATATAAAAAAGTGGGGCTTGTTTAAAAATGGTAGATGTTATTAAACACTATTAAAATTCAACGGACGTGCCCACCAATCATATCCATCCATCCAGCGACCATCCAAGACCCACTTAATGAGTTATCTGTAATATCATAGAACAGTGCCATGCCATGTTAGCAATAGCTAAATGGACCAGCAAATGGACAAGGTTCTGGTAAGACATGGTTTGAGAGCTGCTGCTGATGGTGATTCCTGAAAAACATACATAAATCAGAGACCACCCTTCATTTATTTAATTTCCAGTCAAAACAACCTTTAAGAACAAGTTATTCACTTTCCAGTAGATATTTCTGAGGAGATCAGATATAAGATAATCCACTTGTGGAAGGGGAAAGTAAGAAATACATGAGTGAAAATACAAGTTTCCAAAACAGGGGTTTAAAAAATGATTAACATATATAAAAAATGGGACTCCTAGTAATATGTAAGACCTGGTAGACAACCAAAACTGTCACCATCAAACAAACAATACTTATAGCTTTCATCTTTGAGAGAAAGGAAAAACTCTATTGTCTGAAAGGGTGAAACAAAATAGAACAACATTTGCCAATCAAACAAAGAAGCTGTTGGTGTTCTAAGGACAATGGACTGGCCACCCTACAATGTGTTTGGGATTACTTGGATAGTGAGAAAGACAAAAAATACAACTAACTTGTAAGACTGAACTTTGGAGGTGAGCCCAAATGTCTCTGCAGAATTGTTTGAAAAACTGAAAGCAAGTCTAACAAAAATAATAGAAGCTGTAATAAAGGCAAAGGGTGGACACACTAAATACTGAAAAAAATCTATTGTACTTAGTTGTTGAGGCTTCTGTGTAATTTTCTGGTAAATATATGTTTTCTGCTTTTTTCCTGATGCTGAAAAATGAATAACTTGTAATTAATTTAATAGCAATTTTGACTGGAAATTAAATAAATGAAAGGGTGGTCTGACTTTTGAACAGTAATTTATATGAGGTCGGTTTCCCAGACAGGGACTAGGCCAAGTTCTGGACTACACAGTATTCTAGTACACTAGTACTCTACTGAAAAACTGATCTAGTTCTAAAGAATTGTTTCATATTCAATTTCCATGAAATGGAGAGAGGAGTCAAATAGTGAATTAGTTCAACACTGTGTGTTCTGACAACAACAACATCTTGAACGCTCAGAGACCTGTAGATAAGAGGCACATGTGAGGATCCAAAGTTCAGTTGAACTCTCAGTCACCAATATGAAGAAAAGAAAGAACCGCAAGTGTCAACAACTCGTTAATCTGATTCTATCAAAATAAAACTGCAACTATACCCTAGAAGGAACCAAGTGGTGCTTGTCTATAACAGCAAAGTCCTCGATCCAGCCCCAGTGCTGACCTAGCACAACCCTTCTTACCACTAAACCTGATTACATACATGCACAATCCCTAACCCTGCTTGCTGTGTGTGTCTCTGTGTGACAGCTGGTGTGGTTTTTGGCTCATCCTCTCTCCAGACAGATGCTGACTACCTGACCTCCAGCTGCAGTCTGCAAGAGTCCTGAGCCAGACTGCCCCCTGGTGGGCATCCCACACATCTGCCACCAATAGCCACTGCCATGCCTTTGCACATGTTGCCTCACTGCTGGACTAAGAACAAATGAACATCACAACGGCACGACTTGCCATAAAGTAGAATATAAACAAGAAAATAACGAGGGAAAGACATGAGTAAACTAGGCTGGGCATATTTTTGGGGTCCAATTAGGGAAGACTGGCGAGTTCACTTTTGCAGAACGTGTAAGTGTAAATGTCAGCGCTTCCAAAAAAAGAGGAGAGAACTAATTAATTAGCTACTGTCAACAACTCTAAAAATCAACAGAGCCATATATAAAAGAGCCATTCTACCCACACACTTCTGCGACACACCGAGACAGCATGAGCCCAATCCAACATGGCCTTATTCACAGCATTCCTGCCTGCTTGGCTGAGAGTGTGTGAGCTCCCCAGGGCCAATGAGGAGCCAAACACTTGGAAAATCAAACAGCCATGGTCCGCCATTACAGAATCCTATAGCCTGCAGAGCTCAGTGCAAAGTAAGTTCAACCACAACTCAACATTGATCATTATTAATGGGATTCGCTCACACATAACCAATCAATTTTCCACATATACACTAACATCAATATGCCCACCAACCATGAACAGGATAATAGCAAAACACTTGTAAGGTTTATAATGTAATTGTAGAGCAAGTTCATCCGCAAAATACAAACCTGAAATCCATGTTTTCCTCGCCACCATGTGGTATCCTCTTTAGGAGGCATGTCAATCACCGAAACAATGTCTCCAACCTGAGAGAGAAAGACAGCACAGTCATTTGTCACTTGTCACTACAAACGTCCTTTACTGCCAGGTCATTACCGTGGCCAATAAGGAATTGACCTATCCATGCACTGCCCATAATTGTGCTCTGCAACTGCTGCAAGGTTGCACAAACTTTACAGAACAATAGCAAAAATCCCATTCTGCATGTCGGATATTTTGACAAAAACTAAGTTGTCCACTACAATACCTCCTTAGATCTTCACTTCTCAGTAGAACTTCCCAACCTCGTCTTACTCACCTCAAAAGACAGCTCATCAGCTGCCTGGGCAATGTAGCGTTTAATGACGTGAGCAGCTGCAATGGCGGGGACATTGATGGAGGACTCTTCATGCACCAACAAATGATTCCCTTTGTTGTCAACCTGAAGACAAACAGGATGTGTCAACTCACTCAAAATGTGGCACTCAAGCTAATTGCGGTATTGAAATGCTGTTTTACTAAAAGCTAATGAATCTTTAAGCTTTTCTTCATAATGTCCTAGCACCCACACAGCACTAGGATACAATAAAGCCTCTGTCAATACTCTGCCTCTTTGAAATGAGGAAAGCGATACCAGTGTCAGGTTAATACCTCCATCCACGTGAGGGCTGGCCCACAGTTTATCTTATTATCAGCAATTGCTGAGAGACGGGAGAGGTAAGCCATCAGCATCTGGGATACTGCCTGTTAGGAAAAAAAAAAAGAGCGAGAGATAGAGTGAGATTTTGATAAAGTGAAAGTGAGGAAGGCCTTGATCTAGGTCTTACTGACCCTTGAAACACAGTGCACACAAACATTGAGAGTTTCTTCTTTCATATAGCTAATTTTGTGTCTGTATAAAAAGCACATAAGCTCTTAAGGCTGAATTTCCCTCGAAGTAAGAGGCATCCTAACTAAGGCCATGGGTCAGAATAAACTAGACAACATATAAAATAAGAACATACCAGGATCTTGACAAATGATTTATTTTCAAAGTATGTAATACAGTACTACATCTTATTGCAGTTATCCTCCAATTTTTGAGAAAGAGACTCTGGCTTGTTTTTTCTTCTGTTGCTGAAAGAAATTAGAAGAAGAACCAAGAACACCTGCTTCTATTTCCACCACAATCACATCTAGTCATATAACAAAAACTACAACAAAGCGCTTGATGTGTTTATTTGTGATTTAACAAGGCATATGTGTATTTTTGTTGCTTTTAGGTGTGCATGGGTGTTAGAGAGAGGCGGAAAGGGAATGTGTAGACGAGACTGCTTTTACTTTAAGAGCATAATGGTGGTTCAAAAAGCTACAGCTGCACTCAGAATGATAAATTGGGCTCAATTATAATTCCACATGGCTCTCACATTGAGTCATATGGCAAGGGGTGGCGAGGTGGAGCTGTTTCAACTTTAATGCAGCTCATGGATCTGGATGTGTGACTAAGAAAGAACTCAAGTATCAACCACCACTTTAAAAAAATACTGTACATCAGCTTTCTTTAAAAACAAGACACTATTCTCATGAAATGTTCTCTAGAAAAGAAAGTAGAAGAAAGAAGACATGTGCACACCTTTAAAACATGCCAAAACCAAAGACATTGCTTAGGAGTCAGTACTTGTCAGTACAGCTTAAAACAGAATGTACTTTAGGACTAGGATTAAACCAGACATACAGAGTAGGACTGCTATATCGGAGCAGCCTCCTCATCTCTTAATAGAGATCTCAGCTGCAGCCCTAGATCTGCTCTCCTATTCTAAGACGCTTCATGAATGGCTCTGGCTGCTAAGATTACCTCCACCCACATCAGCAGTCCAACAGCATCCATATCAAACCTTTGCTAAGTCACTTCTTAAGGAACCCCATGAGGAGCCTTTCACTGTTGTGCATTCTTCATGAATGGCTGAAAGGGAGAAGAATCAAGTGCACCACTGCAGTCTGGCTATAGAGCTCAGCTATAATTTACAGAGCTCTGATGGGACCTGCTCCAGCTAAACTTCTCTCCAGGTTCCACCCTAGTGTCACACTGAATTCTGAACACATGTTGGCCCCAAACTACAAAAATTAGTCCAAAATGAGCTCAAAGGCCTCAGTGGGGCTGAAAAGTAAGGCTTAATTATGTGAACAGGGACACAGGACTCTTTTAGTGTAGATTCTGTGCTTAACTAGAGGAATAAATGGAACATAGCAAGAGCAGCAAAAAGCAAGTAGAGCTTTGGCTACATTGGTAACAAGAGGGTAAAACGTTTTCGGTAAAACTTTCTATGAATGTCACATTTGTAAGCATCTATAAACACATTTATAACATGTTATAATGTATTCATAAGGCATTATACACATGGTTATAAATATTTATAAAAAAGAATTACACTGAACTACACTTTATAGCCATGTTTATTATACATTATGAATCGTTAATATAATGCATTATAAATAGTGGTAATAACATGTTATAATGTCGGTGCCAAAGAAGTCAGTCCCAGCTTGGTAAAGTAAAGACAAATACCAAGCCAACAGTGGTGTACATTACCTTTCCCACATTGGGTAAAACACTGATGGCAGCACTAGCACTATTATGTTAACAATTCATAATGCATAATAAACATGGCTATAACGTATAATGCATTTTTATAAATATTTATAGCTATGTTCATAATGTCTTATGAATGCATTATAATGTTATGAATGTGTTTATAGATGCTTACAAAGGTGACATTCATAGAAAAAGTGTTACCACGTTTTCTTTAATAAAATGGCTGTCTGCCTTTCTCAGACCGTTTGTTGTTACCCTGGAACCCGTGCCCAGTCCCCACAGTAACAAATTCTCCTGAAACTCTAAAGAACAAATCCTGTCTTGAACTAATTCAGTCAAACAAATTCAAAGAAAGGACCAACAGTCTTGAACTGGACATTGGACAAGAACAAGTTTGAGAGGGTTTCAAGGCTTGGGCTGCTTTCACATTACACAACCACCAAAACAAGATACACAGCATGCTGTGATGTTTTAGAGTGACATCCAAATATGCAGAACTTCAGAATTCCACTGACCTTCTAAATGACCCCTTGTGTTTATGCGAAGTACTAAACCCCTTATTGCAACCAGAGCTGTTGTGCATATGTGGTGTCATTAAATGTGTGTGGGGCTGAAGTAGCACCATCGTGCAAAATTATTTTTTGAAAATAAAATGAATACACTTTACATGTTTTACATTATCTACACTTTTATTTTCAAGGAGTTAAACTGTGTAATTAGTTCATTTATAGTCAATTCATTTACATCATAAGAATTCATGCGTGACTAAATGCTTTACAGTTACATACTGAGCCAAAGCTTAACATGCATGTATTTCTGTAGAAATGTTTAAGAAGTGTTAATAGCTCCACTGACCACACTAAACTCTAAGTGCTGCTTGGAATGTCAAGCCTATAAGAAAGCCCAAACAAATCTGCTTTTGATTGTAAGAGCTTAAAGACTGCTATAGGAAGCTTACTGCTTATGCCTACAAACATCCAGAAGAGAAAGCTCTTGCTAGTTTTACTCATCAATAAAACAGCAGATGATCATCATGCTTGAGCTTCCTGTCTTATTACTATTTATCAAAAAAATTCCATTAATATTCCATAATATTTCAACAAAACAACCTCAAACTAATATTTCAGCTTGTACAAAAAAGTTGCTTCTACAAGGACCAAGAAATTCAATGGTTAAAGCCTACTTATGCTGCTCCTCTGGCACAAACCAGCCTGCCTCTGCCACACACCGTTGCATTCACACCGCTGTATTACACTGTTGGATCGACAATCAAATGTTTGTCAGATTTGAATCTTTGCATTTGAAATTTGCATATGTATGGTAGGGGGGCACTGGACCCCAGAATATTCTCAGAATAAAGAAAGCTTAAAACAGTGTTGAAAGCGCTTTACTTTTCTGCAAAATACATCTATTATTCCAGATTGTTGTATTTTTCTATTTGTATATATGCCTATAGATAGGATTTCTTTATATTTATTCTTCCTGTTATATTGTTTACATCCTTATTACTGTCCTGTGTTGTGTGACTGCTACTGGCTGCTAAATTTCCTTCAGGATCAAAAAAAGTATCTATCTATCTATCTATCTATCTATCTAGAAGTACAGTCTCTCACAGGAGTTGATGTTGTGCTCATGCCCATGCCCATAGGTGTAATATGACCTTGGGAGCTCTTTTCTTGTGATGGTGCAAAGTGTTGGGTGGGCATAGAGCAGCTGATTACACAGGAGAGCCCCCTACTTAGCAGCAGAAAAAGAAAGAGCCTGCCATTACTGCTAACCATTATGGGCAGCATTAACAGCCACTCTATCTTCAAAGCGGATCGATTTAGCTGTGAAAATATGCTATAGTTCAAGTATACTTCTCAGGCAAACAAATGGAGAAAAAGCCCAATGCAGCAGGGAGAAGAGGCCTTCCAAACACAAAAAGTCTACAGAGACATACATCTGACTGCCTCTACATCACAAACCATTAAATGCTATAAACCATTCTAGCTTCAACACTTGCCTCACAGATGACTTAAAATGCTCAGAGCTTTGGAGGTGAGGCAGGCCATCTAGGATAAGTACACACACTGCAAACAACCGACCATTACTGTTAAAAGCTTAGAGTCCAAAACAGTTCACTGGCCTCATGGAAGGGGTAACGGAAGTGCATAACATCAACTTCAACTCTCTCTGGCAGGCAAAGAGCTTTTTATCATTAACTGATATCATCTTTAATAGCCTATAATCTTTAAATTAGTTTCATTTTGAATGTTGTGTAGTGGTCTGTCACAAGTATTCTCAAGGCATTTTCAGACAATCAATGAAAATAACATTGTTATGAGCCTACACTGCTAATGTTCATGAATCTCTGTCATTAGTTTTTTTTTATCTGGGTATCTAATAAAATTTGTCATGGTGCAAAATAAAACTCTTTTTTAAAACTCTTTTTGAGAGTTTTAAAAAATAAAACTGTTTTTGTTCAGAAGGGGAAACAAGTTACTAAGTTGCAAGCAACAAGCAAGTCTCAAGTTTTGATACTCAAGTCCCGAGTCAAGACAGCCGAGTCTTTGATTCAAGTCCTGAAACAAGACAGCTGAGTCTCGATTCAAGTCTCAAGTCAATACAGGCAAGTCTCAAGCCAAACAAGTAAGTATGCATTTGTTAGCTAATTTAAGGCCTTTTCAAAACTGGACACCAAGATGATGGTAACAGTAATACATCCTTTTAAAGACAACATGTTAGTACTGTGTAGCAATTTTTTTATTACATTTTTGTCACTTTTTCAAACAAAAGACAAAATCCATGTTACGCAGGAAACTCATAATTTTTGATGATTTTTGGGAACATTGTGTGCATTGGATTTATAAAAAAAAGCTCAACACTAAGCCTAGCTCAGCAAACTAAAAACAGCTGCTAGTTTGAATTGAATTTAGACAACAACAGTAACCACAACGATGGAGCTGAACAAAGTTTACAGAAAAGATAACAAAATGATGGTGAATGTACAAAGCTAAAGCTGACTCTTTATTCGCCAGCTTCTTATTCCAATTTTCCGTTCCACCTTAAACGGAGCAACAGTCAGACACCGGAATGTAACTGCTGCACCATTTAAGGCGGAACGCAAAGAGTCAGAGTCAAGTCGCAAGTCTGATGGAGTGTTGTTTTTACTCATCAACTATTATTAAGGATAACATAGTGAACTAGGCAAACTTAGTGACTGTTTTCTAACTAATGCTAAAGCCTCATGGCCCTCAGGTATGTAAAGAGTATGTGTTGATTTGTAAAGGGGAAATCCAACTCTGATCACTATAATTAGTTTTTACTTAAAAATTAACAGAATATTTGTTCATTTTACAAAAATTCTGGCATGATGAGCATATACCAGAAGCATCAAAATGTCCACATGTATGAACGTCTTACCTCTGCTCTTTCCCTCAAGCTGTCAAATCGAGGCAGCTCTGGTAGCTGAGAGAACCGTCGGTCATAGATACAGAGATGGAGATGCTTGTCCAGCACCCGAAAGTCTTCATAACTCCGCCTCACGATCCAGCTTCGTCCCTGTGGAGCAGCAGGACAGGGTCACAAACTCAGACAGGTAAACAAACATGCATTGCGATGTTGGTGTTCGTCCACTCCCTATCCGTAAAGCCTTTAGCAAAAAATCATGCTCTCACACTCTTTTTAGTGCTGGGTAAATAAAGGGCTTAGACTTTGGCTTAGGGCCCAGCAGGACAGTGCACTACTGCACGCAGCACGCATCACACATGTCACAGTAGTTCTCTAACTGCTTTAGCTTCTCTCACTGCAACAGCTAGCATGCAGAGAGTGAAGAAAGATGATGAGGACACATGGCTATGAACAGATAAACCAAGGCAGTGGAACAGAAAACCATTATTCACTGTGTCACACAAGGTTTCCTCACAGTAAGGGTGGTTCTAGTTCATACTCCTGAATAGGAATATGATGGGGATGGTGTGTAAAACAGGGGTGGGTGAACTATTTTTGCTTTTCAAATAACCACATTTTTAAACAAACAGTATCAAATACAGAGAAAAAAAAGAAAATATTTTAGACTGTACTAGAAAACAAACAAACAAACAAAAAAAATTACGATAAGTTTAATATTCCTTTAATGCATGTAGTCTAACTGGTGATTTGTAATCTGACCATTCATGTTGATTTAGCATAATACAGCTGACACACAGAATAGCACCTGGAACAGTACAATTTACACTGTACAAATCTGTCACTTTATGCAAAATATAGCTCTCTTGTTTTAATGTTTTCTGTAGTTCTACATTACATGGTTAATAATAACTGATAAGGCCTGTATTCAAAATGAATTCCACCATTTCTGTGTAGTCATTAAAGAATCTGAATCTGAACAGGCAAAGTGTAAACTACGAAAATTGGTTAATACATCTACACTCAAGTAATATATCCACACTCAAGTAACCACACTGAAAAGAACTTTTATCTCTTCACTAAATTTTTGAAAGCACTGAATAATGAATTGTGGTAATGAACATCACCACAGTCCCTGAAACATCACCACAGCACCATGGGTCCTGCTTCAATTCTTGCTGAACACCACAGCTTGAGTTTTTACATCAGCCAGTATATGAATTGATGCTAAACAGATCTACTATAAATCCTTCCCAGGAGCAATTCGGTCATGGCTGCCTGAACAATGTAGATGATCTATCATTTGACCAATCACTTTTTGATTGAGTTCAGGCCACTGAACTTTTGGGGGAGGGGGGAATCTTTACTCACACTAGAGACATTAACCACTAACCTACAGGCTAATAGAAATATCACTCAGTTTAAGAGCATCCTCAGAGCCTCCATTAATAATTGACAGAATTCAGATATAGAAGAAAAAGCAAGTGAAGTGAGAGATATACATATGTAGGGGGATTTAAGCATATACAGACAATACTTATACTGATTCTGGCACCATAGCATCTAATACTAGCACCGTAATTGTCAAACCACTCTCTGTCTCATGGTTAAAAAAAAAAAAAACTGCGGATCCCCTCTGCCTGAGCACATTTGTTGCTGTCCTGTGCTAGAAATCCATCATCCTGGCAGGTTTCTGGAATCTGGCTCTGAGCCCACCATAAAGTCCTGTACCCTGCATGCCTGCAGACCCACAGAGCACCATCAAGTAAAGACAAACTCTTCTCAGAGTCCTTTGGTAACAACCTTCATGCTTTCTAACTTCATGACTGACTGCAGCATGCAAATGTTGTCTTGTTTCATTATTTAGCTTGGGGCAAAATAGCAGCGTTACAAGACAAATAAGAATCCAGAGCCTTTTGAATTCAGATCATGCAGCATGATCTTAAAGGCAGGTTGAAATAAAATGTTGCTCATTGAATTAGGAGCTTACCCCAACAATTTATGACCCGTCTTTTAAAGTGATGTTCTGTGTCTTTTTCCTCCATTAACCTTTGGAATTTGAACAGATCAGATTCCTCATTCCACATCGCTGTTTCAAACCTCCAACCTTCAGAATCCAAGGCAACACAAAACCTCAGTGCCTTTGATATGGCCTTAAAAGATTCGTCTGAACTAGAGCCATGGCAGGGGGGACAAAAAAAATGTGCCACAGAGCCTGGCCTGCTGCAAAGCTTGCACAGCCGCTAGGAAAATAAATAGAGGAGTGCGGCCCATGGTGCTTATTCCTCGGGTCCCATTTTGTTTCATATGGAACTTCTGGAGCAGTTATTTGTTTGGGACTCCTGCTTCAAGAGTGTGTGGAACTAAAGTGATCTTCCTGTGTGTGTGGACAGGGGCTCTGGGCCAGGTCCAAACCACCACCTTTCTTCTGCAACAGGAGCAGGGGCTGTGGATTTAGGTCTCTTCTCACACACTGAAGGGAATTGGTGGAATTTCCACACATGCACTCATACTCAAGTCACATTTTTCCACAGAGTTGTCAAGGTCAGGATGAGAGTTGCAAGCACTTAAGCAAGTGCATGAAGAGAGACTTTCTGAAAGTCCTTCCATACTTTTTACCCAGTCAGCATTTTTGTGCGATGCTGCTAATAAACCTCTTTTTTTCCAAAAAAAATGTATCATATTTTCAAAATTATACTGGCTTGACTTTGAACCAATCCATTCAAAAAAGCCCTCAAATTAGGTAGCTTAAACCACAGTTTGACCAGCAGCAGCTCATCATATTTTTTAATAAAACTTAGGTTAAAGGAATGGTTTTGCAAAAATCAGTATGTAGTTGATCAGCCAAGACGTTTTTGGTGATCAAATTTTGCATCTTTAGTTTAGCGCTTTTATAAACAGGTGTTTATAAAAACAACAAAAATCATGAGAGTAATCCATGGCAACCATATGCCTCAGCGATGTGCATGCATGTGAAGACGTGTCAGAGGATGTTTTATTTATTTTTACAGTCCTTAAACCACTTTGACTGTGCATCTGCGTAGCCTTTATGAAGACCTGGATGTGGTTTGAGTGGGTTGAGAGAGGTTGGGGATGTATGTACACAGAATATTTGGGTGATTGTTGACTTCTAACGTGTGATAGCAATGTTAGCCTTCAGTGCCAAACTAAAGAAGCAAAATGTAGACACCAAACTTGTCTTGGCTGATTGGCAACATCTAGGGTAAGTGGAAAATTGTGCAAGTTTGATTTTTTGATCAGAATAACCTGACATTCTGTCAGCACACTAAATGAAAAGGCTGGGGCATGTTTTCCTCAGAACATTCAAATAAATCTAACAGTGAATGACACATTGCTTTCAATATTTTCATTGTTGGGAAATGAGTGGAAATATGTATTATCTAATATCTTTTTCCCACTATTTTAGGAAAGTAAAACCTTCTATTGTTTTGTTTTACAGTGAGCAGTCAACCAAAGATGTTAAGCAGTGTTTGGAGAATTCGGTCTGTAAAATGTTCGCTCAGAATCAGTGAGCATATAAACATTTTACATACAAAATCACCTTTACAGTAATTCAATACAATCATTCCAGCAGTAACAATGCTTATACATCTATGTTATTGTGTATTTGTTTAGTGTTCTAAAATGTCAGGCCCAACAGCTTTTCTTTTCCTAAACGTCCCTCCCATCAGTCTCACCATACGGATCAGTTCCATGCAGCATCAGATGCTGGTTTGTGGGCTACTGCCATCCATGCATTTGTGTGTTTGTTGTTCACTGTGATGTATAAAGCTGCTCAACAGAAAAAGGTAGGAATATTACAGAGAAATATAGACACACCTGACAGTAGATCTGGACCAGGTACACCAGCTCTTTCGACTCCAGGCCATTCCGGGTCACTTCACTCTGCTCTTCTGCGAGGCTCAGCTGCAAACATTGAGAGGCAAAGAGATGGAGAAATAAATCAGAAGAAGGTTATGTCTGAATTTTAAAGCGGTGGTTGCAAATGATGCATTAGCCCTTTCACACTCTCTTGTCCTTTGCTAAAGCTATATTTAGAGCACTTTGCTATTCCTCTGTTCAAGAAAGGTGCTACAAGGTTGAAGAGGCGTTGGATGATTTGTCACCAGCTGAGCATATTGCCCACATACTATGAATAATAGATGGAGATAAGTGGAATTACTGCAGCTGTGTTAAACCAGCACGGCAGGTGAATTACACAGTTTATTGCCATTCAGTGCTGACTGACAGTTGCAAGTGCACACAAATCAAATCATGCGTAGCATATCATTCAGAAAGAAAAGCACCGACACAAAGTAATGTGGACTTCAATGTACAAACCTGGTTCACAAAAGAGGCAATAGTTTGCCACACGCTCAGAGTAATGACAGCATTAACCGTCTATGATTACATAATTTGCATGAATCACACTGAATCCCACATACCGTCACATCACAGCTCTTCTTAGGGCTCCCTGCTCATATACTGGTGCGATACAAAACTAAAAACTAAAGAAGCCCTTTCTAGGAATGCAAATCTCCTTGATTATGTTTCTTTAAGAAGCAATTCTTTGAATTATGACATTTCAGAACTATTTTTTAAAAACACACTAAAAATCTATTCCAAAAATCTGACTGGAAAAAATCATTTACACAAGGGTGACAATGATTACTTTCATAATCAGTTAATCTATAGACAATTTTTCTGATTAATCAGCTAATCTAACGATTATGTTCCTGTTTCAGTACTTTTGTTTACATTAAATCTATTTCCCAGTTGAAATTGTTGTTGAATTTAACTTTATGTATTTATTTACTAATGTCTCTTTATATTACTTCATTTATGATTTACTGGCTTTTTTTCCATCTTATCACTTTTCCTACTTTCTCTATTGTAGCACACATTTAGTCATTTATTTCCTATTTCTGCCAGATATATCACTGGCTAAAGGTTTCTGTGTTAAACACTAATATGTTTATGGCTGGCATGAACGACTGGCACATTTCTGTTCTGACTGTGTATTTCACAAATTTTAGGTGTTACAATTTCACTCTGCTGAAAGCATCCTTAAACAGATTTACATCATCTTATGCATTGTTTTTATGCTCCCTTGGACAAATGGATACCGTTAGTCTGGAGCCTTAGAACTTTTCATTATTGAACTACTACCACATTATGGCATCTACGTTGTTCTCAACATCACTGATATGTTACGAAACCCTCTGTATTCTAACATGCAGCACAGCATTAATTGTACTAAACTGACAGTGACCACTTATGCTTCTTTGAAAAACACTTCCTAGTTAAAAGACTTTCCCACCAACAGTAGGAGTAGAAAACATGTTCAGCCCCATGTGCAGAATGTATGGAGCGAATTAATGCATATATTAACGTTATAGCACACATTTTTAAATAAAGTATTGATACATAACTCTCCTAGCAATTTCATATCTACCCAAAGGTCATTAAAACAAACACCCACTCACTCACCCACCCACCAGTGAAAAAGACCATCAGAAAGGGTCACTCTTTGAGTCTGTTTTTTAGTGTGCCCATTTTCAGAGGCAGTACTTATTTTGCTTTGTAGCACATTACAATCACCTATCGACAGAAACAGTATATAGTACAGAGTGTCTGCATGGGGCTCTTTTCAGACTATTCTCATGATTGAGATTGTGGGGGCGTGTGCATGTGTCTGTGAGTGAATGGTACCAACTGTCCTTTGTGCCTGGAGGGGACTGCTCTGCATTGCACTGTGACTGACACATTATTTCTGCTGTGGCTCAGATGGGTCTGCTCACACTACGTGATTGGTGATGCACATCCGTATCACCTCAGGGAGAAGCCTGCTTTCACTTCTACACATACATAAATACATACACATGCGCAATCACACGCACACAGACACATCAGGCGTCCCTCACAAAATGAGTAAAAGAGCTTCATTTAAAGATGAATTAAAAACTCATTTATCTGCCTATTTCAGTAACTGCTCCTAAGCAGAGTTCTGTTCCTCCATGCACAAATGAAATTTCTGTCTGTGATTGTTAAGCTCCTGGTTGATATGGTGACACAAATGTGGCCAACTTTAAATCATAATACATAACATCTCAGTATTTAATCAAGCACTTGGAGCTTCTTCAAGCGTGTTGAAATATTTGGGAAAAGCCATTTAAACCAAGACCTTCACCAACAGGATTTTTTGTGGGTCCATGTAAAGAAAAATCCCCAGAGGCCTTTCAGCATTCACACAACAATGGAAAACCACGTCCAATCTCAGTCATTAAAAGGAAACAGACATAAATTTGGCAAACTGTTCCTTACGTTATCCAATAGTGATGGGCAATATATCATCTATAATGTTATACTGGTATTGGTGTCACACAACAGTATAGATTTTTAGTGTTATATGGTACTGATGGACAAAAACTTTAAAGGGAAATTGCAAATTTTTCAAACTTTTTGCATAATTCAATCATTCAGATGTAAACAAAGTAATTCAGAGTGGTCTGATGTGAAATGCACCATTCTAGAGAAAATTAGGGCTCAGGTATTCTTACAGTGGTGGTGATAGTAACATCTTTACTTTTCACATCTTTATGAATTATATGAAGAAATTTTGGGGGGGAACAGTGTAATTCCCATTTAACTGCACTTTGTCATTTGTTAAGTACTTTTGTTTAGAAAGAACAGTTTGAAATGCATAACAAGAAAATAAATAGTATGTGTCCTTTCTGGAGATGCGCATTCTGTCTGGTTAACATTTAAAACACTGCAAGGTTTTCTTTAATGAAATTTTAGGAACAGTCTAATCAAAACAAGCTAACTCAGGTTTGTAAGACATTCTTTTTGCATAGGGTACCAGCACAGAAGAATCATGGGTGCACCCACTTTATAAATGAGATTTTAAATATCATTACTTACTACAAAACCTTGATACATTTGGAAAGGGTCATGATAAGTTATATACCGCCTAGCACTGCTATGTATAGTTAAATATCAGTGACAAAGATCTTAGAGATCAGTTACTGATTCTCACTCTCAGAAGTGCCATCCCACACAGTTTCTACTAAACCCTGTCCAGCTTCAAAAGCACTTTTAGCACTCTCCAGCAACCCTTTCTTTAGTGTGAGAGGACTGTGCACCCAGTGCTACACAGGCAAAACATATTAAATAGCAGCCCCCATACGAGTGTGTGTGAAACTTTATCTGTCTTGGCAGTAGTTGCAACTGTCTCATGGTCTAAATCCCATTCCACAGTCATTCCTCGTTCACTGTCCCATGTTCAAATATGAAAGGAAAGCATAATGCCGTTGGTTTCTCTGCTAGGGACAAAAAGTTTAAGCTGCTAGCACGTACATGGGAAAAGGGTGGTCTAACAGCTGAAGCAGGGATCAGGATACATTTCAAAGCATTGCAGGGAACACATGGTAGTGTTTTCTTTCACCCATTAGAGCTTGGTTCATTAGGAAAACTGCAGGTTTGGCTGGCTGAGCCATAGCAATCATCACACAATTTATGCGCCAGTGTGGTTCTTCTAAAAACACTAGGCAATCTGAGAACAAATGACCTAGTTATCCAAAAGAGCTCAATACCACTACTGTGAAACAGTAGTACAGCTTGCTAATGCACTTGTTCCAGAATGCACAGGGAGAGATGTTCCTCTACAAGTGCCAGGACCATAAACCAAACACATGCTATATCGAAGTAGATTAAAAATATTCTCCCTGTGACCACAGAGGTTGCTAATAATGAAATTGGTAAAGTGCTTTTGCTTGGTGGGTTGCACTCGCCATACTGGTGCACGTGTACTCTGACATCAGCACAAGAAGGACTACACACTGAAACTTTATGGGACAAAATGCTTACATGTTTCATTTGTGAGAAGAACCCAACTGGAACACAGGAATACAGCAGCTTAAACAACTGAAAATTATAAAGGTGATCTTGTTGCTAAAGAAGTGAAGTAGAGCACAAGCATAAATCCTATCCTGCCCTGCAGTGAATGGCTGCAGAGTGCTGGTCTACAGAACTCAAAGTTAACAGCACTAGCAAGAAAAGATTTACTAAATTGTTCAGTGAGAAATGACAGCACATTGTAGCCTTTAGACAGAAAGTGCTACCACACTTAAGCGCAACACAAGTACAAGGGCAAAAAATCCACAAACCAGAAAGAGAAGAAAAAGAAAGAGAGGGAAAGCAAGAGGCAAGAGAAAAGGAAAAAGAGAACGAGAGAGAGCGAGGGAGCATGGTAGCACTCACAGAGACGCAGCGTCCCGTCTGCACTGATTAAGGCAGACGGTCTTTTGTTCACGCAGAGACGCTGGCCGCACGCTGGGGGCTCGATACTGAGCTGCACTCCTCAAAGCTCAAGCCTTCCTCCCCCCAGCCTGCCTTCCATCTCCATCACTCAGCAGGAGTTTGGTGTGAGAGAGAGTAAGACTCGTTTCGGTTCAGCACAAATCCACTCTGGAGAACACAGATGTCAGTAGTGTTGCCCCCTTTAGAGCTCTGTCCCAGCACAGTAGTAAAAGCATGCTAAGTAAGGTCCTCCCACGACTGCGTTCACACAAACATACACAACACAGTGGTGGCTGGCTGGCTGTTTAGTGGATTCCACAAGACTTCTGTGGTTTCTCAGCTCCATCGTTTTTGTTTATCCCATCACCCTGCTGATGCACCCATACTTTCACTCCATGTCCTCTTCCTGGCTGGTCTTCAGGATTAGGGAAAAAAACAGCGTGTCCAATTTACCGGCCAAAGGAGGTACGACTAAACAGAGGCTGATGGAAAAAAAAAACACAGTTCTGCACCAATCCGGTGCCTGTCCTTTTACCACATGCTCTATTTCCCTCCTCCTGTCTTTCATTCCCTTCCTGCTACAGCCTCCCCCCTCTCTGCAACCTCCAACACCTCCTCCCCCCTAG